TTGTACCACTAAGTTTTGAGTTTCCTGTGGTTTGGGTTGGGGTTTTTTTGGTTTGGTTTGGTTTTTTAAGTCACTTTATATAAATAGCTTCAATTCCGTGTCATGTAATATTAAACTTTCACGTGGAAGTTAATCGGGCTAAGTCCCTGGTGGTGCTGAATACAGCAATGAAGGGAAGAGTATCTATAGGCTGTCATCTTTTCCCAGTATGTGATACTCTGGTGTTAATGGCTGTTCATATACAATTTTGGCTTCCAAACTGGAATTCACTAAACTGGCCTGTAACCAAGGAAGAGCCTCATGCTCTGCTGCGAGCATTTCCTCTCCCTGTGTCTGTGTGCAGGACACAAAGTGTGTCACACAGAGCTGGATCTCCACTAACAAGCTGAGAATCACACTGTATCTCAGGAAGCCTTAGCTTACGTTTCAGGAAAGCTTCTCACCTGATGAGACAAGATAGAGTAGGATCTGACTGACTGCTCAATATGAGGCTTGAAGATGGAAATTGGCAGACTTTGTTTTTTTCCTCTTTGTTTACTGAAGAAAAACTTTTTTTCTGCTTTGTTTTTCTCTTAGTGAAGAAAATCTAAAATCTATAGTACCAATCACTAAACTAAAAAGTAAAGCCCCTCATTGGACAAACAGGATACTTCATGAATACAAGGTGAGATAAAGAACAGAAAATCCTGTCTTAACTTTTTTTGACTCTCTGGTTGACAGTTAATGAATAACAATACAGGTATATAAAGCCAGAAATGTGGATGTTCTGTTGTCATCTGTGCATTTATCTTCAGCATGTCTATTGGGGATATCGTCAATGCAGACATACGTGTAAAGAAATCTGCTCTGGCTTGTATTTTCACATCTGCTTGTAGCAATAGATCCACAAAGTCATTTTTGCCAGTATAACTTCTATGTTAGGGATCCAATAGCCATGATTTTGGGATGTAAGGGAAGGGGAAAGGAGTTGCAATCTCTTCTTCCAAAGATATTTGTATATTTTGCATTTTAAAAATGGCTATGTAGAGTTCAGATAAGCTGTAATGCAGGGTGAGGATCTCAAGAGGTTGGTTGCATCCACCACACCCAGTGTGGTAACTCTTGAAGACATGAGTTCTTCCTTAAGCCTGTGCCTTCTCATCTGGAGCATGGCCCAGCCAAGTTTTGTGTTTGTTGAGGTACTTCACATCAGTCTGTTTTGAGGTGGGAGCACTCCAGCGATCCTTTGCTGTGACTATTTCACTCTACTGAAGAGGAAGAAACAGAAGCCTATCTCATTCTGAATGAGGGCTCCACTAAAGAAAAGAAATCTGCACCTCTATTTTGCTTAGAAAAGAAAAAAATAAATCCGTGGTTTTTTGGGGGACGTACATCCCCCAGAAGAGGTTCATCTTACCGTGCCTCACTGGATTGGACCCCTTAAAGGAGGAAGAACGCTTAGTGTTAAGAATCATGATGCTTTTAGTGTCAGTTGGGTGCGTAGCTGCTCATCCTGCAGGAGTCCCACATCTGAAAGGCAAAACTGTGGGGCCCTGCAGAGGTCAGGTGTCTGTGGCTATGATTTTTGAGGCTCATACAGGCACGTGCTTTCTGCCTCCGGTCTCTTCGGGCATCTGAGCCTTTCTGTGGCTCTGGGGTTTAATTTAGATATAGAAAACGGTTGCTGGGAAAGCACTTCGGGAATACTCATTTAGCGGGAGTTCCACTAAATAGTGGATTTTCTTTAACCAACCACAACTATTTGGGAAGACTTGTTGATTGCCATTGTTCTTTATTTCTAGAACCTCAGCACGAGTGAAGGTGTAAGTAAAGAGATGCATCACCTTCAGCGCATGTTCTTGCAGAATTGCTGGGAAATTCCTACTTACGGAGCAGCCTTTTTTACAGGACAGATATTCACCAAAGCAAGTTCAAGTAGCCATAAGGTCATCAAAGTGTACGTAGGAGTAAATGTAAAAGGGCTGCACCTCCTCAACATGGAAACAAAGGTCAGCTGGATTGAACTGCCAATGATAACTGATAAGCTTAATTCCGTTCTCTTAAATCCTTTCTGCTACCAGTCATTTCACATCACACTGTGTGGTTAAACTTGACTGGGAAAATTTCCACAATTTTTATAAGATCTTTATAAGGCACTACTAAGAGAAAGCCTTGTGTTTTTCCACTTGGCTACTTTATTAGATACAACTAGATTGTGGAACGTACTGTTATTAGTCAGAGTCTTGTCTAAGTGAACTAAGAACAGTTCAATTTTTAAGTGGAGAATATTTTCTGAGTGTCATTTTCCTACATTTCATTGTAGGCTTTACTTATCAGCCTAAAATATGGTTGCTTTATGTGGCAGTTGGGAGATGGAGATACCTGTTTTCAAATCCACAGTCTGGAAAACAAAATGAGCTTTATTGTGCATACCAAACAGGTAAGCATTGCCATTTTTTTTATAAACTAGTCAGACTCCTTTCCTGAGGTTGACCACCCTTGTACAGTATAAAAGAAGCCCAAGCCAAGCCCCCCCCCAAATAGTCTTAAAACTTTCTTTTTAATATTTCAGAATGTTTGCTTGTTTTCCTAGCCTTTAGGATTCAAAATACATAAAATGCATCTGTAATCATTAGGGTAAATGTTTTTTTATTAATTGAAACTGTTGCACATGCCCAATCCCACGGTAATTCAAAATATGATGAGAATCATGGAGTTAGAGCTGGTAACTTTGTTGTCAAAACTGGTGGAGTTAGAGATTAGAAAAAACTGAGGATCTCTAAAGGCCATGTTAAGAAGCAACTGCAATTTCTCCCATTAACATTTGATAGTGTTTGTGGATGTCTGGTGGAAAATGCTTGTTTTACCCGTAAGTCTGCATGAGGGGTAACAATGCCATGCTAAAATGTGCATTGAATTACAACTTGAGTATCTTGCATACTTTGACAGTAGTTGCCTTTGATTCTTATCAAAGCACCTATCAAAACCACCTTAACTAAGGTGGTTACCGGGAGTGATTCAATGTTTTGAAACTTTCTGGTATCTGAGAAAAGTCTAGGTTTTGTTTTCCTTATTTCTAAAATGATGCAATTTCTTACTTACTGTATCTACTTGCATTTGTCATATGCTTAAGTTAATTGTGTCATAGTTCTGAAATGCTGTTATAATTTCATTGTCTATATTTATATAGGCAGGTCTTGTCGTAAAACTTCTGATGAAGTTAAATGGCCAGTTAATGCCAAGTGAAAGAAATGAATGATGGGAATGAACAACAGTTATGAAGCAGCATCTTACAGCTAAGCAAAAACCCACTTACTGCTCATGGTAACAGAAGACTTCCATGTACATGAATTTTACACAATAGAAAAGTCAATTTGTAGTTTTTTAACTTTGTACAGAAGCTGCATGGTTTATTTTTTTAAAAAAACCCTATACAATATATTCATTATTTTTATAAATAGTTTTGTGTTTCATATATAAGCTATTGTAGGTCTTGAGCTTAACCAGTAAAGTTAATGAAATGTAAATGGTTTACTGAGTTGGGCGAGCATGAACCAAGAAAGGCGTTTGTTCCCAGAAGACTATGGGACTGCCAGTGCCATTGAACAAGTGTCAGTTAAACTATTTACCTTTCATGTCATTCTGTGGAACATCAAGGAGGTTTTATATGTTACAGTATTTTGTAGACACACTTTAAGATACTGTTGGTAAGTATGCTAAAAAGACCAGCCAGACCTTTGAGCAACTTTTGATAAACTCTTGTTTTTTTATTTGTCCTGACAAATGTTATAGCTGGCTTTATTTTTACTCTTTGCTTTCTCATACTTTGTATTCATATTTATTCTAAAATATTGCATGAGGATGTCAAAAGGGAAATACTTTAAATCATTCAGAAGCCATATTAAATGTTTAGCATGCTTGTTTTTTTAAAAAAAAATGGATTGTTACTTTTGCTGTGCAATATAAAATGTGTATATGGAGGAGGGGGAGACACAGATTTACAAATTAATCTTACTCAGAGGACTTCAGGACATTCATTGAATCTTACCCTGGATTGCAACACACCCGCAGTAATGACAACTCACGTAGGAGGTACTCAGTTATTTATGTTAAACTAATTTTCCTAGTCATTACTTCAGTTCCTTGAGGCTACATAGCAGTGCAGGATGCAGGAATGAAGACTGACAGTGTAAAGAAGGCAGATGCATTTTGTAAGCGTCCTGTCTGCTCCTTGCAGGGTCAGTAGTGACTCTCAACAAGTTGGGTCTCAAGTATAAGGTGGGGACCCTGTGCAGTCTGAAACACATCCTTGTATGTTAAAATAGTATCCATAACACACATCTGGTTGTATTTCAGGGTTTTAAGTGCACTTGACTATTTCTTCTACGTAAACTGCATGCTGAAACAGTGTGCAATATTTTGTAAAAAAGATTTAAAAAATTAGCACTTGCCTCTAAGTTTTCAAATAAAAGTTAAAATGAATGTTTGGAACTGCTGTTGTGTAGTAACTTCACTTACACCTTACTACTAGTAAGTGCAGTTTAAGAAATTAAAGTAGTAAGCAGTTTAAAAAAGTGAACAGGAGACTCTTGTATTTTGTAATCTTCATAGCAAGCTATACTTTTCTATGTAAACTTATCTGGCATAAATAACAGTAAATTTTCATGGATTGTTATATTTTATTTAAGGTAAATAATGCAACAGTTGGGTCCTTCACAGTGCATCCTTGCTATCAGTTGGCACTGGTATCAGAAATACACTTCTCTACATAGCACTTTGTTAGAAAACTAGAGGAAAAATGTTAAAATGTGTCATGCTATTGAACAATAGTATTAATATGCCTTATTGCTGTATAGTTCTTTCTGCTAAATTCTTATTTATTACTACCTAATAAACTTTGCAACAAGTCGTGTTTGTTGTTTTATTATTGCAGCCATTGTGAAAGTGCCATCAAATATCTTAGCAAGGAGGTGTTATGTGCAAATTTTGTACCAGGCTCATCTTTGCAAGGTGTGTGGGAAGATCATCAGAGAGGATTTAAGGGAGGTCCTACAGTGACTACAAACTAAGGCAGTGCACCTCGGAACCACATCAGGAAAACTGAAACCTGTTAGTCCTGGGAAACCAGAAGCTTGCAGATGTTGTGTCAGTGGAGCCGCTCAGCAGCGAGAAGTCCGGTTTCCTGGCAGGCTGCTGGCACCTGGGCACATCAGCGTTTCCGTTGTGTTGCTGTGACAAGGAAGGTGAGTACAATTCTTTCATCTAAAGTGGGGAAATGAAAAATCGGAACAGAGAAAAGTCTCATACTCTAGAGACCACTAGTAACGACTCTCCTACCTGCACCAAACAAAAAAAAATCCCACAAAACCAAAAGAAAACAAGCTGCAGGAATGGCAAGTCTGAAAATTATCCCTTTGTAACCAGGAGACACTCAGCTCAACTCCTGTAGCTTTAGCCAACAGGCACTTTTTAAAAAGCCAATATTTGAGAGTAGAAAACTCCAGCCAGGCAGCACAAGGCAAAATAACTACTGAAAACTTAAAACTTTGAAAAAGGCACAATTCTATCAAGTGGATTAATTAATTGTTAGCCTAGCACACTGACCTGAGGACAGTCTATCTTGAAGTGCAGACCTTGCTTTGGGTGAGGAGTGAACCCACCTAGAACTGGGTGCCTTTTGCGACGGTGAAGCAAAACCTGCAGGATCTGAGGTTAGCCATTGTGTTGCCAGCCAGATCTGCTGCAGAAAATAGACTGTTACTGTGAAAACACAGGCACAGGCTCAACAGAAACAATGTATGTGGTTTGCAAAGGTCCCACTTGACCTTTAAGGTTTTTTGTTAATTCGAGATCAGGATATTATATTAATTTTGTACAACTTTACCCCATCAGCAGAAAGACTTACATTAAAGGAACTAGGAAAAAATGTTGATCTATTTGAGGGACTCATGTTTAAAGACTTAAAAAGTGAGACGGTGTAAATCTGCCTGTAAGGTGAGAGGAAAAGACCAAGTAATGCCTTTGGTTTGTCAAGTGAAGCTGTGAAAATACTGTTTATGATGATATATCGTAAACAAAGGTTTAATGTAGTAAATTAGAAGTTTAAAGCAGGAAGAATGTACAAACAGAGCTCCAGAGAACTGTGGAACATCTGCTGAGCAACCTCTTGTCAAGAAAGAAATCGCACATCTCTGATATATGTTTTGTGATCTGTAGTCTATTTTCTGAAAAAACAAGGTATTGAAGTGGTAAGCACAGCAGTAAAATAGTCCCCCCTTTTTTTAGGGTCAACAAAAGTAGGAGACTTCACAAATGCGGAAGAAGTCTAGGTTTTTGTCAAGATGTCTTACAAGTGCTAGCTCAGTCTAGCAATGTTAAAACATGTTATTCCACATAGGTGTCAGACTTACAGTTTGATTTCTTAAAAACAGTGATAAGAATCAATTAGCAACCCAGAAAAAGGAACAGTGTCTCTGGAGAAAGATGAAGATTAAATTCCAAGGCATCTAAATACGAAAGGACTAAACAAAAGCTTTTGTGAGATTCCAATTAATGATGCTAGGAAAGACCCATTACATTCATCAGAGAATCCTAAAGTAGCTGACCTAACTTTGAAAAGTTTGAGTGATACTTCACATGAAGTTCCTATAGGAGCTGGCAATGAGCAAAGTGATAACGTGGCTGAAAATAGATCAAGAAGCGATTTACCTGAAAAAAGATATGAATGTGAATCCTCAGCTGAGATGAACGCTGCCACAGTGTCTCAAGGTGTGAGAAAACAGGCACTGCTTGTGTCAGCCAAAAAGGGCACTGGAGAACTGAACCCAGTCCTTGCAGAAGCTGTCAGTGGAGGTGCCAGACCAGACCTGTCACCATCAGTGGTGAATCCTGGACGTGATGAAAATGGACCAACATATATGTTGCCTGAAGAAAAACATGAGAATTTCACCCTTAGACTAAATGATAAGGGACTAGGGCATGGGCTTCTGCTTGCCTTTGAAAAACAAAATTTAAATATTTGCTGAAATAAACCCAGTGCATTCAAATACAGGTAATCTAAGCTGGAAATCCTGATACCTGAAAGAAATAGACCGGCTCTGTTGCCACCAGGTAGATCCTTACTTCATAAACTAAGGGTACTGAACGTCAGTCACCACCAGGGACCGTGTCTCCCCGAAGGACTGTCCAAGCTTGTAAGTATTAAGGAGCTCCTTCCCAGTCGCTACAACGTCGATGAATATCCCTTCGCACTGGAAAGCCTTTAGGCTTCGCAGGCAACAAGGTAAACCCATTGCTCAGGGCCAGCCCGAGAAGCCCCGAGCTCGGGATCCCGAGCGGCCGCCGCTCCTCGCTCCGCCCTCAGGGCGACACCGCCCCCGCGCGAGGCCCCCTCCCCGCCCGCCGCCAACCACCGCCTCCGTCCCGCCCACCGCCCCGCGCCCGTCCAATGGCGCCTCTCACAACCCGGCAGACGACGTCACCCCGCGGAGCGGCGGCCGCCGGTTGGCTCAGGCGCCGGCAATCGTCACATGGGCAGAGATCGGCCCAGCGCGGCGGTGGGCGTGGCCGGCGCGCGGTGCGGTGCCGTGCGGCGCGGCGCGTGCAGTCGCGCGACTGGCGGCGGCCCGTGGGGCGCTGAGGCGATGCTGAGCCTGACGGAGGTCGGCGGGTCCCTGCTGGAGCGGGTGGCCGTCGGCAGCCCCCTCTCGCTGGTGCTGGCCGCCTCCGCCTTCGCCCTGAGCCTCGGCTACCTGTTCCAGCTGGGTTACCGGCGCCACGTCGGGTCCGACCGAAAGGTGGGCGCTGGGGGCGGGGGAGGCGCGGCGCCTTAGGCTGGGGAGAGGCGGTGGGCCGGGGCAGGGCTCCCGGAGGGCTCCGCCAGCCTCCCGCCGAGGGGGTGGTCACGGCGGGGCGAGTGCCGGCAGATCCGGGCGACCTCCCGTCAGGGTACGACTGGGCCGGGGAGTGGCTAGCTCCTGGAGACCCCCTTCGCGGGGAGCGCACGGGAACGGGCGGCGAAGCGCCGGCGGGGCGGGAGCGTCCCCCGCAGCCTCCCCTGGAACGGTGTCCGGTGGGAACGGGGTCCCGCAGGGAGCGGAGGGGCTCAGGTTTTGTAGGAGCAAAGGCCGGGCCCGGCCCCGTCTCGTCAGTGCAGCTTTAAAATAAAGCTCCTACCGGCGTATGAAACTCGTTGCCAAACTGAGGTTGATGCTTTTGGGGGATTCTTTAACAAATCGTTTTGTTTCTGACTGCAGTATCTTTTTGCTTTGCTTTCAGAGGCGGGATAGCAAGAGTCTTAAGTGCATTAATTTTATTTTAATCTCTGCTTCTTTTAAACGTGGCTCACTGTTACTCTAAGAAAGTAAACAGTTGTCAAATGTTTGCCTTTTCACAAAAACCTTTAAATGAAACATGTATAAAGCCTCTCTGTGTTTATGTAAATGGACATGATTTTATTATTCTCTGAAGAAATGTCAGTACTTACTTTTCCTTTGTTCCTCAGAAATACCCACCTTATATTTCATCAAGCGTCCCTTTCCTTGGACATGCAATCGCGTTTGGAAAAAGTCCAATTGAGTTTTTGGAAAATGCTTATGACAAGGTATATTTTCCCACATGACTGGCTGAGCATATGCTAGAATATTTTTGTGTATCTGTTACGTTATCTTTGTAGAACCTGTTTAAAATAAGTTAATTCTCATTTCCTGTCTTGAATATGGAATGTAGTATGCAGAGTTGGCTCTGGTTTCTTCAGATCTCTTCACGTACATCGTTGTTAGAGGAATAGTGTTTTCTGAGATATGTCTTGTGTTTCATATTTTAAAAACTGTGTCTGTGTATTTGGGTAATGATCATAGCTGAATCACAAGTTAATTAAAAGCCATTTTCATGATGTTATTTCTTGCCTTAATTGGGAATTTTTAATCTCACTCTTTACTAATCTGTGACCAGGCTGGAATGTAGCTGACCACCTGCGTAGGCAATTTGATGCCTTTTAAGGCCCTTTCCAATGTTAAAAGGGCTGGTGTATAAAATCTTAGTAGGTTTTGTAGCATAACAGCCCCAAAGACATGGCCTAAGGCAGTAGAGCCTTTAATGATCCGTTTCACATTGTCTAAAACTTAAGCTTAAATCTTACCTTGGTTAACTTTAAGAAAACCAAATTTAGTCTGTGAAGGTCTGCTGGAGACGACCTTTGAACTTTGAAATCATATTTGTGCTATATGTGCTATAATCTCCCTGTTAGTTTTTGTAGTGTAATTGATCTTTTTTTTATGTTTTTTTAAAATGTACAAGAACATTTGTGTATGTTATATCATTAGATGTCACTAGTAAGTATATAGAGAACAGAATTTAAATGTGGCTTAAAATATTTGTATCTGTATTAAATCTCCAGACAATTCTTAGGAGAGTAAGTGATTTATGGAAGCACGTGCATAAAGAGATGCAGATTTAATGATTTGTGTTGTTCTTATTTAAAATAACCTGGTTTGTTTTTTTCTGTTAGTATGGACCTGTGTTCAGTTTCACTATGGTTGGCAAGACATTCACTTACCTACTGGGTAGTGATGCTGCTGCTCTACTCTTCAACAGTAAAAATGAAGATTTGAATGCAGAAGATGTATACTCTCGGTTAACGACACCAGTTTTTGGCAAGGGAGTTGCTTATGATGTGCCTAATATGGTATGTATTTTAAATATGAGTAGAGAAGTAGCATGATTTAAATTCTGAGTGGGCAGCCCTGCCTGAGCTTTTGTTCATTACACAATTCAGGCATATTGCAGCTAAATTGTCTCAGTTGGATAATCGGGACTGAAGATGTTTAGGTTACTTTACTACCTGGCCATTTGTCAGCGGATGCTATTTTTTGACCTTGAAAGCATCTAATCCAACCATAGAGGAAAACCTAATGAGTGAGTCTCTTTTCCCTTCCCTTCTAGCATGTCACTCACTGCAGTTTACTTTTGCCTTACAAACAACTTTAGGTCTTGCTGAGAGAGCTTTTGGGTGTGAAAATTTTTCATTTATGCCATGCCAAATCTAGATATAGGAGTATTAATTTGATAATTAGCACCACAAGGTTTGTCTTGCTCAGGTAAAAATCAGTCTGTGTATGTTTGCAGAATGCAGCCTGTGTGGGTCTGGAAGCACAGTGGCCGTGTCACGTGGCATTGTTTCCCAGCTGAGCGTAGGTTCCTTTCTTGTTTGTGCATGTTGTCTGGCACAACAGACTCTTAAACTGCAGAAGCCACATTTGAGGTGGACAGACTCCTGTCTCCATCAAGCTGGAGATGCGCTAGCGTGTGTACCCTCTGACAGACTGCTGGAGTCCCCTCCTCATTCTGAAGTTTCTAAGAAGTAACCTTTCTTCTTACGCCCTTTGTTTTGTGAATAACTTTATAGTACATGCAGAGCCCTTGGTGGGAAGGCAATTTTTGGTCTGTTGCTCATGGTATAGTGTAGATTTGCACTTAAAAATTCGTTGAATAATTTTCTGAGTAGATGTCCCGTCAATCTATTGAATAGTTCTCACCTAATAATGGACTTTTTACCAGTAGGTTTGTTAGCTAGGAGTCTATACAAAGAAAAGTCTATACAAGAATAAGTGAGAAGGATGTGAAACTCACCATTTTCCTAGGAAGCAGTTTGATTCCTGGGCAGTGATCAGAGGGCTTTGTAAAAGAAAGGTGCCTGTCTAGGCCAGAGTTAAGGTATCGCTGCGTCAGAGAAGACAGGCGTTCTGGGGGAGAGAAAGCAAGGAGGCCACGTAAGAAGGAGCACAGACTGAATCCAGACTTTGCACGGACAGGTCTGATTTACATTTGTGATTCTGTATCTCAAGTGCATTCCATATTGCAATCTTGAATGCTTCTTGTATCTTCAGGGATAAAGTTTAACAAAGATATTAAAATGATTTTTTGTTTTGGTACTGTAAAAGAGAGACTTACAGCTCCTTTGAGCTAATATTTTACTTGGATGTTACTAAACTTTTGCTTGAAGAACCACAAAGTTGAAAAATGGAATATTATCTATTGTTTAAATTTGAGTATCTGTTATACTCCGTGATCCTAATTTCTTTTTACTTCTGTATGTTCTTATAGTACAAATTATAGTACTTTGTTAATTACATTAATATGATGATCCTTGTACTGATTGCTTTTTCTGTCTTGGCTCCTCTAGGTGTTTTTGGAACAGAAGAAGATGCTCAAAACTGGGCTAAATATTGCCCAGTTTAAACAGCACGTATCTGTGATTGAAGGAGAAACAAAGGAATATTTCAAAGGGTGGGGAGAGAGTGGAGAGAAAAGTAAGCAAGATCAGATGCATTTTTTTTTCTCAGATTTTCTGGGAAGGAATGAAAGCCAATGCAGTATGTTTTTGTAAATGATTTACTGCAGTATTTAAAAAAATGAAAAATGACATAGGTAGTACTGTATGGAATATCAGAAGACATGTGCAAAGTAGATTTTGTTTAATCAAATTTAAGGCTATTGGAGAATAAATCTGCACAGAAAGTGATTGTCAGAAGCAAAGGCCTATCTTACTTTCGCTTTCTTAGTTGGCTAATAGTGAGCGTACCTGTTGCTTGGCTGAGTCGTGCTCATTTTGTATGAGTCAGGTCAGTGTAACCACCTCTTAGTCCCTAGGAAAAGATCCTGCTCCGATTTCCCAAAGCCTGTCAGATCTTAGCTCAGGGATCTTCTACACTGAAGAACTGCATCCTTGAAGCTGATACAGTTGGGTTAGTGATCTAAGTGGAATTATTTTATTTCCCACCAGTCTTTCCCAACTAACCTGCTAGACATAGCCCATTATTATTGTTGCAAGCCCACAGTGGCATAACGGTGTCAGAAATATTTTTTTTAAATATGTATTTAGAAAATAAATAAATATACAATGTTCATATATGTTGTGGTTTAACCCCAGCCAGCAACTAGGACCACACAGCTGCTCACTGACTCTCCCCTCAGTGAGGTGGGGAGAGAACTGGAGGACTAAATGTGAGAAAACTCATGGGTTAAGATAAAGACTCCCAGCTTCTTGCGCACTCCCAGCCCAGTGGCTGCGGTTTAAATTTGAGTATCTGTTATACTCCGTGATCCTAATTTCTTTTTACTTCTGTATGTTCTTATAGTACAAATTATAGTACTTTGTTAATTACATTAATATGATGATCCTTGTACTGATTGCTTTTTCTGTCTTGGCTCCTCTAGGTGTTTTTGGAACAGAAGAAGATGCTCAAAACTGGGCTAAATATTGCCCAGTTTAAACAGCACGTATCTGTGATTGAAGGAGAAACAAAGGAATATTTCAAAGGGTGGGGAGAGAGTGGAGAGAAAAGTAAGCAAGATCAGATGCATTTTTTTTTCTCAGATTTTCTGGGAAGGAATGAAAGCCAATGCAGTATGTTTTTGTAAATGATTTACTGCAGTATTTAAAAAAATGAAAAATGACATAGGTAGTACTGTATGGAATATCAGAAGACATGTGCAAAGTAGATTTTGTTTAATCAAATTTAAGGCTATTGGAGAATAAATCTGCACAGAAAGTGATTGTCAGAAGCAAAGGCCTATCTTACTTTCGCTTTCTTAGTTGGCTAATAGTGAGCGTACCTGTTGCTTGGCTGAGTCGTGCTCATTTTGTATGAGTCAGGTCAGTGTAACCACCTCTTAGTCCCTAGGAAAAGATCCTGCTCCGATTTCCCAAAGCCTGTCAGATCTTAGCTCAGGGATCTTCTACACTGAAGAACTGCATCCTTGAAGCTGATACAGTTGGGTTAGTGATCTAAGTGGAATTATTTTATTTCCCACCAGTCTTTCCCAACTAACCTGCTAGACATAGCCCATTATTATTGTTGCAAGCCCACAGTGGCATAACGGTGTCAGAAATATTTTTTTTAAATATGTATTTAGAAAATAAATAAATATACAATGTTCATATATGTTGTGGTTTAACCCCAGCCAGCAACTAGGACCACACAGCTGCTCACTGACTCTCCCCTCAGTGAGGTGGGGAGAGAACTGGAGGACTAAATGTGAGAAAACTCATGGGTTAAGATAAAGACTCCCAGCTTCTTGCGCACTCCCAGCCCAGTGGCTGCGGCGGTGGTGTGAGGAGCAGAAAAGGCCTTGAGTGCTAGCAACAGCCAAAACCACAGTGTGCCATCAACGGCATTTTCATCTCAAATCCAAAACGTAGCACTCACCAGCTGCTAGTAAGAAAGTCAAGTCTGTCGAGGCTGAAACCACAGTATCATACTTAAAAAATCAATAATAAGTATAAATTGTATTTAAAAATATAGTATATTATAAAGTATATAATTTCTAAATATATAGTTATGTAATATAGTTAAATATAAAATTATATATTATCATATTAAGATGTATACATTTTATTATTTATAAATAATTCAGTGACCAGCAAAACTAACTGGTTTCCCATGGATTTGGTTTTCAAGGCTAAGGTTTTTTTGACTTCTTTTGTATTTATTAAGGATTGAGTTTGTGCTGCATGGCTTACTCTGGAAGAATTAGTAGCTCTCCCATAGTAATTTCTAGAAAAAAATACCTTAGAAAAAAGTTGTTGAAATGGATGATGATTTTAAAAAGTTGTTTGAAGACAGACCTGATAGACACAAAGAACTTTAAAATTAGATGCTTCATTCTTCTAGTAAAGCAATCTAAAACTCTATTTAAAATTACTCATCTATATCCAGTTGCTTATTTTTCTTTTCTACAAAATAAACAATGACTTTAAAACATAACATATCACGTGAAATGCATCTTCAGTAATATTTTTGAAATCTTTCCTCAGACCTCTTTGAAGCACTTTCAGAGCTTATCATTTTGACAGCGAGTCATTGCTTACATGGGAAAGAAATCAGAAGCTTGCTGAATGAGAAAGTGGCTCAGCTGTACGCCGATTTGGATGGGGGTTTTACTCACGCTGCTTGGCTTCTGCCAGGTTGGCTGCCTCTACCGAGCTTCAGGTACCAGAAACAACAGATGAAGCAGCTGAAGTATTTTATGTAAACAACTTTGTTGTTTGGGCTCTTCACACACACACACACACCCCATTTCTTGTTTGAAAGCTATTCTAGATGACCAAATAAATCCTCATAAGCATTTTATGTGCTACTTTATATAAAGTTGCTAATCAAAGTGTTTTCAATTGCAGACGTCGAGATCGAGCACACAAGGAAATAAAGAATATTTTCTACAAGGTTATTCAGAAACGTCGAAAGTCTGAGGAAAAGGAGGATGACATGCTCCAAACTCTACTTGATGCTTCATACAAGTAAGCCAAGGGTTTGAAGACTTGTCATTTATAGATGCTTAATGCTCTGAGCTCTGCAGTTAAAGCTATTTACCAAAAAGTAAGAACTGTTCCCTTATGTTCTGAATTGGTTTTGTTGCTGTCAATTGGTACTAGCTGTATTCTTACAAACAGCTTAAAAACTACTTGCAAATGGTTATTCAGATTTCTGAGATTTTTCATTAGTGGCCACGAGGCTGCTTCCTTTCTTTGCTGGCTCTTCAGTAATGATTTTCTTTAAGGCTCCTGGAGCCTCCTCTCTCCCTCTGTTCTCCCTTCCCCCGACCCCTAGATCTTTGGCTGCCCCATTTAGGGTAGGCAACAAAAGAGAAGAAGGACAAAGAAGTACATTAGAAGAAATTGTAAACACTGTAACTGGAAAGCTGATCAAATGAAGCTCTAACGTGACACCTTTCACCCTAGGGATGGCCGTCCGCTGACTGATGACGAAATAGCTGGGATGCTAATTGGGTTGCTGCTGGCAGGACAGCACACCTCCTCCACCACCAGCGCCTGGCTGGGCTTCTTCATCGCCAGAGACAAATCGATACAAGAACAGTGCTACGCAGAACAAAAAGCAGTTTGTGGGGATGACTTGCCACCATTAACTTACGACCAGGTTTGTATTTTACATTATTCCTGCTGCGTATTTTTATACTTTTAGATGCTTATTGAAAACTAAAAAACCACCCCCCAGAAAATGAACAAATGTGAAATATAGTCATATGCTTTGTGTTAGGATCACAATCTAGCAGGGTCACTGTAACAACACTGTTTGCCAATATATCTAATACAGTTCCTCCATCTCTTCTTCTCCAAGTAAATTTTTAGCTTGCTACTTTTTTTTTTAATCAGTATTCATCAAAGAAATTACAGTTCCTACTATGTCTCTTTAAGAAATTATAGTTCTGTAGAGGAGGAAGATCCTCATTCACATTGAGGAAAGGAATGCAGCAGTGCGACCTTGTAAGTAGGCATCAGAAAACACTTGTGAGACAGATCCGTAAGGAACTAGTTGTATTTGATTGCACTGCTCAGAGATTTCCTTAATTGAATCAAATATAACAAAAAGAAATTATCGGGGTGGGTCATGTAAATATGAGCTGCTTACTCTGATATTTTTTTTTTTCTAAATGTGTTTTTAAATGGTATAAAATACTATTTTGTTTGTGTTGAATAAACTTTGCTATGTTTTGACATACATTTTTCTCTGCACTTTCAGCTCAAGGATCTCAGTTTGCTGGACCGCTGCCTGAAAGAAACTTTAAGGCTTCGACCTCCTATAATGACCATGATGAGAATGGCCAAAACTCCCCAAGTGAGTTCACTTGTTGGAGCTGGAAAAGGCGGGGGGGTTGTCCTGGGGGCAGAAGGGAAAACAGGAGCGAGCGGTGTTTGCTGGCAGGGATGACAGCTAATGGCAGCCTGGGTAGATAGCAGTGGGAGTGCAGCTGGTGTTGACTGAGGAAAGCAATTAGCATCTTGAACTTGGTAGCGGTTACCCTCACCTGGAGTTATTTGTATCCAGTTTTGGACCCCTCTGACCCTTGGCAATCAAGATGTTGATGAAGTGGAGCTTGCAGAGGGCCACCAAGACAGTCAGGGGGTGCACCACCTGTCCTGTGAGGAGACGCTGAGGGAACAGGCGTTGTTCAGCCAGGAGAAGGGAAGGCTTTGGGGGGACACAGTAACATCCATGTGCAGTGTTGTTCAGCGAAACCGACCCTTTCTTGTAGCTCACAGTCTCACTTAAGCTTCTTCTGGTGCTACCATTTAGAGATGCGTGTTGTTTGCAGGTATTTTTAGTAGCTATCTTGGAAAAATTGGCTTGCACTTAATAATGGTACAGGCCAGGAAAATCTGAAAGAAAACTTGCTTTTTGTACAAATAAGTCAGATAAGTCAATTCTTTAAACTAATATCCCTCCCATGACAAATGATTTCAATGAATTTGAAGTTCATTAACTTTTTTTAAAAACCTCTTTCAGTAGAATGGCCAGCCTTGTTCAAGCAGCTGAAAGGTTCCTGCAACTACTTGACTGTTGTGCCCCTTACATGTAAACCAATAAACTATTAAGCTGCATTATTTTTAAGCGAGCTTAGCCAAAAATCTCTTTTGAAATTCAAGCCTCAGGATGTAGCACTTCACGTAATACTTTCAAACGAAAAATGGAGAACTTTTGTGACATGCCAGGGGGGGTGCGTCTTGTCTCTTCTCTTGCAGACTGTTGCTGGATATAATATTCCCCCCGGCCATCAGGTCTGTGTGTCGCCCACCGTTAACCACAGGCTCAGGGACTCCTGGAAGGATGCTCTAGAGTTCAAGCCTGACCGGTATCTCCAAGATAACCCAGCCGGCGGAGAAAAATTTGCCTATGTTCCCTTTGGCGCTGGTAAGAAAGCACAGCCCCTTCCTGGGCCATTGTGTACTGAAGTGGCTCCTGCTGGTCGTCTCGCACAGCGCTTCCCCCCTCCCCAGCGCCTGGGGATGCATTTTTTTCTTTCTATTGCTGCCTGAAAGTTTTCTTAGTGTGAAAGTGCTGTGGAAAGAATGCAGTCCATAGCTGTGCGTTAGTAGTAGCTGGATAGCGTAGCAATCAAACCAGCTTTTTTGGTCAGCATGTGTGGTATTTGACACAAGTCTTCTGAAGGGCAGCTAAAGCCCTGGTAATACATCGGTTTAAGGCAGAGCAGAAATCTGCCTAGAGTCATAACTACCCAAACAGTTTGAAAACATCATTGCAATACGGTTATAGTTGGTATCTTTTCTCACTGTTGTAAATGCTTCTTTGGTGATACATAAATTAACACTTTCTGGTGAGGCCAGAACAACACAATCATCTCATTCAAATTACTTTGTCTGTTTTATGCAGTGACAGCTTAGAAACACAAGACTTTGGTGTTAGTAACGGTGTGGGTGCTGCATCAGAGCCCGCCTTGTTTAGAAAGGAAAGCAGCAATTACGGTCTGCATAAAATTTTTAAAGGCAGCTTGTTCTCAAAGGTGATCTAGTAACTAAGTATTCTAATTGCTTCTTATGGCTTTCCTTATAGGCCGCCACCGCTGCATTGGAGAAAACTTTGCTTATGTTCAGATTAAGACTATTTGGTCTACTTTGCTTCGTTTGTATGAATTTGATCTCATCAATGACTATTTTCCAACTATAAATTATACAACAATGATACACACACCTAACAACCCCATTATCAGATACAAGAGGAGGTCGCTGTAAATTCTGGAGCTGAAACCTTACCTGTGTAAGTTGTGTAAACAGACAGTCAAAGTGAGTGATGGATGGAAACTCTTGCATCTCCTGTTAGGAAAGCAACAATAATCTACCAACTGCAAAGTCTTTGCATCTATTTCTCATTGCGTTTTTACAGAAAGTGTCTTTTCTATTGGTGTAACACGTTTAAGGTGCATGCCAGCTCTTTAAGATGAAGAAGTCAGTCATTTCTAGAAATGCACTCTTTGCTTATGAAAAATAACGGAAGATTACTTTTCCCCAGATAAGGAGGGGTAAGACCATGTCCCTTACCTCTGTGTGCAGTTACAGTAAATCCCTCAGGGAACAGGCACCGAGGGGGAAGGGAGGTGGTGATGCCCTGCTCCTGATCGTTGTGGTTCTGCTTGGAGCAAACTAGGCATGGTCTTGGCTAATACTTGGCAGTGCCCACATACCTATTGAAAGAGGAGTTACTGTACAGCTGAGCAGTGGCAGACTCCAAAAAGTCCCTGGAGGAGTCTTTTCTGAGAACACATGATTTAAATGTCTAACTTGAAGCAGCTGTAGAATGCTTAGGTTCAGAAAGCAACAAGTAATTTTCTAAACATTTCTGAAAGCAGTGAATCTCTGAAAGCTTGATATGTGTGAAAGTAACAATATGATGATACAAGCAACATTAATTTTGTAAATAACATGTTTGTGTATAAAATGGTCACAAATGAAGTGAAATAGCTGAATGTTGTCCCCTCTTGTACTGATTCATGCAAGATTGTTAACTGGTGTTTGGTTCAGGAGTGGTGATGATAAATGGTAACAAGCTCTTTGAATTAAATTTATAAACAAGCCTCTTGTAGAAGTTTTCTGTGCTCAACCCTGGCAATTCTGAGAAGCTTTTGTAAGTACATTTGTAATAAACTAACTTTTTTCCTGTGAGTACGAAGTCAGTCATGCAAAGAGCTCCCCCCTTCATCAGTGCTCACTGTAGTGAGGGCTTTGCCCTGTCTTTCCTGTTCTAAACTCGGGTGCGATGTCTAAAACCTTGTGTTTGTATCAGTTACAGCAACCAAGGGAGTGCAGTATCTTCCCTTCCAGCCCTGTACGATGTGACCAGCGTGCAGGAAAAGGGGCCTATACCTGTCCTCTCTTCTCACTAGTAGCAGCCTTTTGGAATCTGTAAAAAGTAAAGCTGCAGCCACCAGAAGCAGGAGGAAGGGTGTGAATAAAGGAGGGGTTCTTGAGGCCAGTTAAAAGCATGAAGTCATCTTTATTTCAGTACTTTGACAAAATACCCATAAAATTCAAAACTTCTACCATTACAAAAATAGGTCTCTACAAGTGATATTCTGTCTGCACTGCCAGTAGCAAATATTACGAGTCGTAACTTCAGTAGCCTTGCCAGAAAAAGTGCAAGTAAACTTTGCTGAATGTTGCTCAATTTCACCAATGCACAAGTTTCATCTTCGCACCCTTTTGATAAATACACACTTCATAAGTTAATCATTTAAATTAGCGTTCCACAAATATACATGTAATTTAATGGGGGGCAGGGGGATTGGTTTTGGGTTTTTTTTCTTCTTTGTTTTTGTTTCTTTGAAGACAAAGTGCCTATATACACAAACCACTGTCTGCGTGGGTGTGCCAGGATGGAACAGCGTGCAGTTGTCCAGCTGTGTTCATATTGGTCCCACAATATACACATCATACAACAGCACAGGAAGAGCACAGGTTTGCAGAAGGCAATCCCTTAACACCACTGCCAGTGACGGAGGGTGGTATTATCTCCTCGCACCAACGTGCAACTGAGTGTACGAAGTTGACCCTGTAAGAGGGAGAAAGAGTTTCGTCACGATTACTTGGAATGAGCAGATGAGGATTCACCAATGACGTGTTATTTAGATGAAGAAGTGTGAAATCTCGTAAGAACAAAACTCCCTCAAATGATGGATTTTATGCTGAAGTAAGACTTTTAATGCAGTAACTGCAAAAATTGAATTTGATAAAGTACAGCCCATTGATCTGACAATTTTATTGATGCATTCCTTTTATAGCACAAAAACAACCCACATCATCTGTGGGACAAAAAGGCTGTAACTTCTGTAATCAAAGTGGTAGGAGAAGAAAGTGCCCTTGTGCTCCCACTCAATCTCCTGCGTATGTTTTTCTCCATCTAGCTTAAAATCTTAGTAAGATGCTAACTGACTACTCGCTGCACATTTAGTAAAGATCAGGGAAAGTTAGTGTGTTACCAATAAACTCAAAATCTGTAATTAAAGCACTCTGGTCTGTCTCTCTTCAAAGAATTTTACTGTTATCTTTTTAATGAGCTTTTTGTTACAGCTCAGAATAGCCTCTTGTTTAAGGCTGAAAATGCCTAAAATCAAAGATGTTTGTGCTGTATCTCTGAGATACAATGTGGAACATTCCAACGTGGAACCCTGCCTTGTGCCAGACAGTAGCCACAGGGCAGATGGCCTGACCCTCACCTGACTGCACGCTGCCCAGCCTCCTCTGCAGGGCCTCCAGCCGGTGGATGTAATCTGTTAGAGCTCTTTCAGGATCGTAGTTCTGCAGCTGAGAGCAGGTGAAAGAGACGGGGTTTATATCGGTGTGCACACTGTGGAACCTAGGGGCAGACGAACATGCATGGTTTTACAAAGCAAATTCAAAGTATCAGCAGATGTAGCAAAATACTGTAAGTAGGGACACCTTACTGCCTGCACGTCCCTCTTGTGGGAGCTGGCACATCATACCCATTGAACCTCTCTGCCGTTTCTTGCCCAAGCCACCAAACTGCCTTGCCCAGAGAAACCACTGCCCCATGGCCATTTCTTTCTACTGCACCTGATCTGTTGCTGCATTTTTCTGGGAAAAAGACTGACCAGCAAATTCCTGCTGAGACTGTAGCAGAAGCCATCGTAGACTCATGTTTGCTTTTCTATTAAGAAGCTTGTGTGAACAAGGACACAGCCATTTTTACAGGATTCTGTCTCTCTTCATTACTTTCTATAAGCAAAAGTCAAAAGTGGCTAAAATAGTTGAACATTTTTTCTACGTGAACTGCTATGGTTGCCACAAACTAAGATTACAAATATTGAGGTGATTTATATAAAAATAAAGATCCAAACTGGCAAGAATCTGGTATTCCCTAAAGCTCAAGAGCCCACAACCCCATATGAAGTAATCAAAGGCTGATGGCACACCTAAAAACCTTGCCTTTGGTGAAAAACACCTGTTTTCGGTGGCATCTGATTCACTAATGCCTCTAGTACAGCCAACCAGAAGGGTTTAACCAAGGACAGGCAGTGGAGCTACCAAGCAGCTCCCATCCACGCTGTAGCCCTGAGGTGGCGGGTCATTCCTCCTCCCAGCCCACAGGGGCCAGACGACCCTCCCCAGCCACAGCGAGCGGGCTCGGCAACAGGGCCCGGGCTCAACAGAGGCGGGGAAATGCAGCTCCATCCAGTCACGTACCACCAGAGCCAAGATTACGACACCAATCAGACAGCAGAAGCCTGCAAGCTTTGGCCTGGCTCAGGTGATGAGCAAAGGCTCCCTGAAGGCCTGAGATGTAATTCATTATGTAGCCTTAGAAAAAGTTTAAAACCTTACAGCATCAAAGATCACAAACCTTAGCGGTAAGCACTGATGCATTCATTTAGTTAAACAGTGTACTAACAGAAAGTAATAAACTAAAATAAAACGTACTTATGTTGAAAGTTCACAGGAGAACTAGGAGACCCCATGTCTGACCTGGATCTGTAGGAATGCCTTTGTTCTCCATAAGGATCCACGCCACCAGAGAACGAATCGGGTCGTAATTCATTACCTAGAAAAATAAAAAGCAATGTTTTGAGAACTGATAAAAGTAACACTTTTTGCCCTTTACTTGGGATCTCAAATGTGAGTTTTTCTGTTTGCCTCTCACAAAAATGGTGTTTAACAAATGCAGACACTTTTCGACTGCGTCAGAGAAAACCAGGGGTGAAACCCCAGCCTCACTGATGCTAATGAGAAAACCCTCACAGCCCGAGCAGGATGAGCTTTTAGTGCAGATCCAGATAACCAGGAATTAATACAGAAGCTTCTGATTCTCCTTTGGCTCCTACCAAAAAGCAAAGAGAAAACCAGATTTCCCAAACTTTAAGCTATAACAAAAGAACGACAGGCTTTTGTTCTGAGGAAAAGGCTGGGGAGGCCTGGTCAACAGGCCCTGTCACCGCTGCAAGGGGAGCTGTAATTACTACGATTCCTCTGCGTCCCCTCTCAGAGCTGGCGGTGTGGGTCTCTTACAAGTAACCCAATGACATCGCCAAAATTGTTTTTGGAAACACACTCCACTGGAAAAAGCTGCCCTATTTTTTTTAACCCCACCCACAATGGAGCAAAACAAGACTGAAGAGAAAGCAAATAGATTAGTGTCTGTGCTGAGCACGGCAGAACCCTGAAAATTAGCTTAATCCAAGCAATTGCAGCAAATGGAAGGGGGAACAGCACCCCATTCATCCCACATGAGGAAAATACAAATAAAAACCACCTCCATTAAGCAGTGACTTGTGAATACTATTTTTTCAGTCATTACCGGACTATGATTTACCTGTGTTCTGGCTAAAGACATCCCTATTGATAATTAGTAGACCAGAACCCGTAACTCTCTGCCATCGACGAACCAGGAACTTCATCCTGCATTTCAAATTAAAAAACAAAACAAAACAAAACCCTTCAGGACAAAGTAGTCTGCTAAAAATAATCCACTGCTTGTATTCTAGAAGGCATAAGAATTTCTTGAACACCAAGCGAAATTAATGGATGGGCATCTAAAAACATATCAAGTAGGATCAAGAGGATCAAGAAGAAAACATCCTTATATACATCCCTGAGAAAAATATTTTGTCCAAATATGCTTTCAGCTTCACCTCTGCAATTTCAGTGATTCCAGGGGCGCTGCATAAGTCCAAGCAGACAGCAAATGGCTCAAGCACCTCAACTATGGGGCATCAGCATTTTAAAATCGTAATAAATAAGACTTTTTGCCCTGTCACATCCCCAAAATTGTAACCGCAGAGCGCCATGAGTAAAAGCCTCGCTTACAACAGGCATATGAATAGTTCCTTGAATTTCTACTACACACAAGCCCCAGATCAATAGCAAGCACAACTAGTTGGCGGTTCAAACCCTTGTGAAGAAGGTCTGCTAGCAACATGGCAGTACTATGTAGTAATGACCTTCACCTGTTCTTCTTCATCTATTCCTACCCATCCTCAGTCTGAGACCTAAAGTCTTGTGAATTCGAAGGACTACCCAGATGGATAAAATTAGTTCATTAATCTGTATTTTACTTACATGTAAGAATTTAACTTTTAAAGGAAATTAAGTTGCAGAAAATACCTTTGTAAATAAATGCATACGCTAGCATTGCTAGTCTTTTTTTTTCTAATGACAACTTTATCCAATACACTCCATCTTTGATTGATTATCAGATACAGATCGATTTTCAACTACAAGCAGACTGCTTATTCCTATTACAGATTTTACCTATGCTTTGCTCAACTTGTCACCCTACACAGTATCTACTATAGTCACAACTACAAAAGAAGTCTAATTTAAAGAGGATAGAACACGACAAATTCTTGTTTCCACTAGAGCACTAGAAAAATATACATTAAACTGCAGTCACATCTGTTTGAAATCTAACTTCCTCCAGTTTACCTTGAAATTGCGACGGACACTCTGACTGCAGAGCGAAATCTTGTAAAGCCCTTGGAATGGTGTGTGATGATTTCAAGGTCTGTGTAGGAAGGCTGCCCACCCATTCGTGCAATGAGGGCCAGCGTGGCTTCTTCACACTCCTGGAATCCGCCTAGTAACAGGAGCAAATATTTTTTCTGATATATGAGAGCCTTCCGGAAGCTCTCTGCTCGTAGGTATTTGCCATAAATTCTCTGCAAAAAGGAAAAAAAAAAACACGCCTCATAAGCTCTGAGAATTAGTACAATTCTAATACTTTTGACATCATGAATCCTACAGCATTACTGTGGTTACGCATTTCTTGGCATCATGGAGAAGACTGTACTGCTGCACACACTAGTTGAATGCAGCTTCATAATTTGAGGATGACCTGAGAAGCAAGAAATAGAGCACACACAAAAGGATAACATAGGTGCTTACATATTCTTTGGGAGAAAAACTACAAGCCAGGTATCCAAGGATGAAAATTCTTAAACCGAATTAATACCTGTTTACTTAGAATAAGCAGAGTGAACGCAATGAAAATTAGGCCCAAATCAAAATGAAAAAAGCAGCTGCAGTTATTGTGTGGGCAACACATTTTTCTTACCCTTAAAACAGCATTTTCAGAATCTGATCCCAGTTCTCCGAGGAAAGCTTCGCTCCTGAGCTCTGCTCTCAGCTTGGAGAGTTCCGCATCAGCTTGCTTCAAACATTTCTGCAGTGACAGCTTTTCTCTGTTCCAAATTTCCTTCTCAGAGGCAACAAGAGTATCGATATTAACTCCAACATCCAATGAGTGTCTAGAAGACTGAAGACGAAGGAAATCAAATTTGAATCACACAGTTTTTTTGTCATTCTAGTCATTGGTTTGGTGGAAAGCTCATAAAATTACTGAGAGAAAAACAACCCACTGATGGGATTTGACGCTGCCCTTGCATCCTAACACCTTAGGTAAGTGAGTTTAGGAGCCTAATCAATGTCCTAGAAAAATACTGTTCCCCCCCCCCAAAAAAAAATAAAAAAAAAATCCCCTCATTGGATCATATCAGCTTCATGATGTTGAAGCCATCTGGTCTATTTGCTACTCATCACAGTGATGAAATCCAGATCAAAAAGAGAAGCACATGGAATTTAAAGGGAAAGAGCAGTTAACAAAAGGAAGCTGGGTAAAATCACCGTATCCAGTAGACAGAGAGAGTCCATGTACCTTGACCACAGGACAAGAACAACTCACACCCATTTACTCTGCTGGAGGGAAGCTGAGACAGACAGATAGGTCACCCTTGGGTGACCAGGACAAAAAGCATTGGGGTTATTTCACAGCACGATGCTTTTAAGCCTATATATACACATCATTATTATCAGTGCCACTGAGGACATACGTAGTCTCCAGAAGGTTGTCTGTGCTGGTATCTTCTCAGTTCTTCCTCCAGTTTCATAACAGCATTCCTCAAATTATTCTTTTCTTCACTCAGCCTGCTGACAAAGCCCGTCAGCTCAGCGTTCTGTCTCAGCAGCCTCTCAGTCAATGAGCCAGACGGAGTCCCGTGTGGCAGCCCCAGCTTCAGCTGGAAGGAAGAAAGAAAACCAAACACAACTTGTATTAAGATCCAAGTTGCCAATACCTGGCTTACAGTGAAAAACTTTTGTAGAATAATGACAATAAGATCATAATAACTTCTCAAAAGAAAACATGCCTGTACATGTAAACTATAAATTAATGGGACTTTCTCTTCTATGCTTACCCTGTATAACACAGAAGAATAGTTTCACGCAAGGTCAATTGTACCAGCTGTAACAATTTGCAAAGCTCTTCTACTATGTTTAGATTTATCTAACTTAGAGGAAAAGAAATCCCCAAAGCTTTTTTCAAGTCATGTTGAAAACACTTGCTTAAAATGCAGGTAAGGGCTTAGCCAAGTTCACTTCAAATCAAATATCGCTGAAGTCTTTGTACCAGATTGCCTCATTTAGTTTTTTTACACAGGGGCACAAGTCTCAATCTTCAAATGCCTTTTCTTTGCCACAAGATTCAAAAAATTATAATTAAACTGGAAAAGTTTTAATTCAAAAGTTGAAAATTCACTTTTAAGGTAATTAAAATTGAAAAAAAATAAAAGGAAAAGGTTTCTTTACACTTCAACTCCGAATCAGCACACTGACAGGAGCAGATTTCCCTCTAGAAAGTACAGACCTGGATAAGTACAGACTTAACAACTCCTTGCTGGATTCTGCAAACTCTCCCACCAAAGTTACAACACTACACTCTCACCTCTTCCAGACAGGACAATCCTGGCAGTTTTTGCAGCTCTGAAATAACTCCATCAATAGCATTTTGTATCACAATGAAGTCTTGATCATCTGCTGTTTCAAACTGTAATCTGAAACAGAAGTGACAGTGTCAGCAGCAGGTACAGTCTGACACCACCAGCCAGACTGACAGGACTTTCCATTGACCCACACGCACTGGGACTTCACCAAATCACTGCAGCAGAGTTACTGACATTGTTTTCAGGACTGTGCAGTGACTCTAAATTGAATTGGCTCAATTTTATGAAGTATTTGCATAGGGCAGTTTCCACTAATTTGGAGAGATGGATGTTCCACATGAAGCACATTTAAAAATGCGGTTCTGCTTCCCACAATTTTTTTCAGTCTGTGGGAGGAAAATCTTAGGGTATTTTCAAGATATACTGCATTCCACTTTGCCCAAATGTTTCAGAATAAACATTTAATATTAGATCACAATCACACCAAAATAAAAACAGATTCAAACTTCCCAAGGACCTACTACCATGCCATTTTTTTTTTCTTAAGGAGAGAGTTACCCAGGAAAATAAGAATCAAGATCAGTTTCACTTGACCATAAAAGATTAATTTTTGTCTGAGAAGAGCAAGGGGGATGATCCATAGCAATAATCTCTATATTAATCCACTTACACAGTGAATTCTCTCATTACTAAATTATTTTAAAATTATCTACCCACACCATAGCCAAATAAACCGTATCACTTTTCAAAGAAAAAAAAAAAAAAAAGACAATTCTGCTGTAACTTACAAAGTTAAACATGTAATATTAAGAGCAGCACTTGATACTTTGCGATCTTGTCTTACATGAGCATATCTCAAGTAATGGCATATATGATGAAATTACAACAGCTCCAAAATCAGTTAGGCCTGCAGTCTATGAATTGTGATTAAAACCCAATATATTATCTTGCTGGTTGCTAGTAACAAAACTGAGTAGCTGAAGACTGGCCTAACCTGCTGGCAGCTTTCCGAGCCAACTGCTTCAGCTTTGGAGATGCGTTTTGCAGCTTCTGTCTGACATTTTCCAGAATTTCAGTAGCAGCAGAGAGATCTCCTCCTCCCATCAGCGTGGGGTAGGTTGATTCATTTGTCTCAGCTCCTTCCATTTTTTGCTGGAGAACCCAATTCCTTGTTCTCTCATTGGGCGTGTCCCAGGTATTCTGGATATAAATATGTATTTGTTATATATGTATATATGTAAAATGCATGCTTTAAAACAGAAAACTTTGATTCTGAAACACACTCAGAAATTGAGGAAAATAAACTGTTCCGACACAGAAGGGAGTACAGTGTGACTACACTACTGTTGTAGTGTACCACTGAACTATGATTTGTGAATGGTACAGTGAGCATGATGCCTTTCTTGACTTAAGATCTAGCAATCATACAGCAACAGCATGAATCCATCCAAGAAACTCAGCCGACACAAAGCCAGCCAGCCTTTCTGTTTCTTCTGCCAGCAGCTCCTTTACCGGTTGTGCATGTAATTTGGGCAACTGTGCCCACATGTTTCAGTGACTAATTCATAGTGAGAGGAACAGGACTGGGAAAGCACACCATGGTCACAAAGTCAGCCCCCAGTCAGAGGCAACCATGATGCTGCCACAAGCAAAGGAATCCACTGAACACATTCCTCATCCTCACTATAACCTGATGCTAGCCATGGAAGAACTGCTGGCCCTCCCAAGAAAACACGAGTCTACAGCCGTGGCTTTGAGTATCTGACCACAGTGTGGCACCAATGAAAAAAAGCAGGGTGTTGCAAATGTCACAGGAAGCAGCAGGAGATCCATTATTTGAAACTGCAATGCAGATCACACTGTCTGCTGCTGAGGAGTGGAAAAAGCTTCAACAGCCACTGCCAGCCTGATCCAAGGAAAGACTCTTCATTGACCACAGTGCTGGCAATTACCTCTGAGCAGAAGAGCAAGGTGCGTAAACTGAGCACAGCAGGAAGGCTGATGCTATCACAGTTATCAATACATACAACATCCTGCCTCCAGCTGTGGGTAGTTTCCAGCACTTCAGAAGATTATAAACAGTAGCCAAATGAGATGAAGAAAACAATTTCCTTCCTTGTTCCACAGACAGACAGCTGCCAAAATGGAATGATGGCAGGATGGGCAAAAGCATGGTCAGCAAAGAGGCAAGTCTACTGCCAACCCTCTCTGGGATGATCCACAAATCACCCACTCAGCAACACTTACCTCTTACAGTGAAGTTTCTGAAGAGTTTTAGAAGTAATTTAAAAATAGAAGTTTTAGAAACCTTTTATGAGAGAGAAAAATTTACAGGCAACAGTGGCTCCAACTTTCATTCATTTAAAAATTATTTTTTCACCTTCACTTCTTCCTTTTGGTTTTTTTTTTGGCTAACAGATATATATGTTTGTTTGATTACTTACTCATTTAATTATTGAGTTGGGAGATCACTTTTAAATGTTTCAAAGACCACTTACGGTTTATGAACTGAAGATGAAGAGTACTGACCTGGAGAATTCCTGAGTAGTAATAATAGCTCATTCCTGCTACTGGGTGCAGGGAATATTCTTCTCCGATACTGAGACACAAAGTGCTCGTATACATTCAAATGCATTTCTCCTGCTCACCCTCCTCCTTACACATCACTGCAGCTTCATTCTCAGAGGATGTGTGTGAATAGTTTTAGGTAGCAAAACTGGAGTGCTTTCCCTTCCCCTTTCCCTGCAGCCTGTATTTTATAATCTGTAGGCTGTTTTATAGATTGAGTAAAGGCACAGTGACACACAATGCTAATTGAACAAAAGAATTAAAAGCTAAATTGCACAGTTCAGCATTACACATTGCTCTTAGTCCTACTGTACCTCGTTTGGATTGTGGCTTGGCGTCCTTTCGGCTTCCTTTCTTCCTTCATTCTCCTGCTCTTTTTTCTGTAGTTCTTGGACTATTTCCTGCAACTTCTTTGTTTCATTCCCTAATTTATGAACTTCTTGCTTCTTTTCTCCAAGTTGCCACTGAAGGTCTTCTACTTTGGATTCCAGTTCATGGAGTTTCTTCTGTGCTATTATGTTAGCATCTTGTTCTGCTTGCAATGCTTTCCTCTGGATCTGCCTTTCCTTTTCCATTTGCTGTCTCACTTGCACAGATTCCAGTTTGTACTTCTCCATCTCACTTACTAACTCCACTATACGGTCATGCTTTTCATCCATTTGTTTCTGTAGCTCTTTAAGTAATTCCTCAGATGGATTAGGTGTTCCAGCTTGTCCCTTATCTTCGGCCCTTTGAAGCTGAGCACATAGCTCTTTTTCCCTTTCTAGGGCACTGCTTATTTCAAGAGCTCGAACCTTCTCTGATTCAAGAAGCACCTGCAACTCAGAATTACGGCCTTGTTCACGTGACAGCTGGGCAGCACTGAGTGCTTTTTGGGATTCAATTTTCTGCTGCAGATCAGTTGACAGCTGTTTCTCTTGCTCCAAAAGTTTAATTAACTGCAAGTTCCTTTGTTTTTGATCTTCAAGTGAAAATTTTAAATCCTTCCATAAGAAAACAGAATAAAAGAATTGATTAAAGCCATTTATTTTTACTTTCCATTATCTTCTACAAATTGCAAACACCCTACCTCTACACATGTTGCTTTTAATAGATTTTACTATTCACAATAATGTGACAATACTCTGAATGCTGCAGTCACATCTGACATTAAAATACATTACAGATGCCCTTATTGTAAAATCAGATCTTCTCATAAAAGAAAAATATTTGTAACACATACTTTTTAATGAGTACAAACAGCCATAGGTCTGAAGTTGAAGATAATTAGCTGCTTTTACTTTCTAAAACTGTGACAATGATTTTGCAAGTTAAGATTTTGAGAAATAAATAAATCTATGCTGTTAAAGTGATTGGTTTGTCTTAATACTTGCAGCAGGGTACCCGCTCTCTCTCTCACTGTATCAGATACTGCAGAGATACCATGGAATCTACTTATGCATTTTGTCCTAAACTAAACTCCCTAGCTTGGTTTTCATTAGGTGAAACTGCTGACTATTAAAATGGAGACAAACAATGTAACTCCTTCAATAATATTCTTAAATACTATCTTGCACGAGTTATGTTGTGGTGGAGGCTGGCTGTACCTACGTTAGCAGTCTCCTGTCCCCTTGAATATCTGAGGGCTATTATACAAAATATAATCTTTTCATCTTGGACCTGACAAGCACAACTGTAAAATTCCTGTTGATTCAAATGGAATTTGCCTTTTTCTCTCCTTGCCACACAGCTTCTGTACATCTTTCCTCAGCAAGAGATGATATAATACTGCTGCTGAAGACAGAACAGGGAGCACACAGTGGACAAAAAAGTAAGCTGAGATGAAATGTTAACCAAAAGAATATTAGTGTGCTCCTTGATGTTCCAGACCATTTGGAATTGCAAATACCTCAAGCTCTTCTCTTCCTCTTTCCTCACTGCGTTCCATTTTAGCTTTTTCCTTTTCCAAAGCCCACTGTAGCTCTCTCGATTTTCTCTGTTCGCTGGCCATGGTATCCTTGAGAATATCTAGCTCAGCTGCTTTTTCTTTAACTTCAGTCCTAAAAGAGAAATAGGCAACCTTTAGATTATGGCTGTAATGCTATCACAGTGGCATCAGTTACTTTATTACATCTTGCACACTTAAAACACTGCTAGTGTTGGAGAGTAACAGTGAAAAGTCTATTTAGAAAAACAAGTGTAACTCAAAAAATAATAAAAAAAAGTTGCATAGCTGAAAAATGACAAAAAGTGTGTCCATCTTGCTGACTTTGTAGCTGCCCTGTTTCATTACTTGGTGTCTCACAGACAGCTAGCATTCCACTTAATCCAGTCACTGACCAAAATCTGAAGGAATGTAGGGGAAATGTATCTTGCTGCCATGTGTCTCAAAGGAAATAATAATAAAAAATAAATCTATCTTGGGGGAGGAAGGGAGAATAAAAAAAAATAATCCATGCCCTGAATTTTCCTTTTTTATGCAAATCAATTTTCCATCAATTTGCAAAACAGTCTTGCTCCTGATGGTCTATAAAGGCTATCAGGTCATCTAGAAAGTAATACCAATTTATACTCTCATTCTAATTTGTTATCTGTGAGCTGCACGTTAAGATACTGTTCATGGGAACATCCATCTGGTAAAGGCTAGAATGGCTTTCTTGAGTGCCAGGTATTTGGCCTGGTACCTCTGCTGTCAACCATGCCAAAGCAACACTTAGAAGTTACAGAATTTCATATGGAAGTACTTGCAAAGTCATCTTAACTCTGCAATTTTTTCCTCCATGTTCAGTTTCAGAAGCAGAAAAACCTTTAATAAATACAGTATATTTATTAGCTTGTATACAGTAGTCTAATGTGTCCAAATTTAAAGAGACATTTGGTATTAATAAATCATTAAATCAAACTATAAATCAGATCTTTTTAATCTATACAATTACATTTTCTGTCAAATGGAACAGAAATCTATTTTTTGACAGCTGTTTTACAGATTATTTACAAATTGCTTTTAAAGAAGCATTTACATTTCATGAGATCAGCTCCCTCAATGAAATCAGTATTATGATTTGAGACAACACAGGGAAGATCATCTTCACTGTCAACACAGAAAGGCTGGCACTAAAAGTCACACCTGATGGTTTCTAGGTCCTTGAAGTGCTTGTGCTGTGCTTTAAGTGTTGTTTCAAGCTCCAGTTTGGCTTGTGCCAGTTCATTCTTCAGCTCAGCACCCACCATTCTCTCTGAATTCAGCTGCTCCTGAAGCTCAGCTGCTCTGTCCTTTGTACTCCGAAGCTCCACTTGCATCTCCAGTATCTGTGACTGCTTCTGCTGCATATTATACTCCAGCATTTCTAATGAAAGTACCATTAATATGGAAATTCCTTAGTAAACAAACAACACTGTCTCTTTGAGTAAAGTTTCCCCTAGCACAGAAAATGACCACAAGGCTACCAATAAGAGTGATATTTTAAAATAATTTACTGACTATCCAACTTAGGTATTTTCAAAGCTGTTGAACCTAAACACTGAAGTGTTTACATGGAAAATAACCTTAAGATAGAAGCCAAATTTTTTTAGCAATTGAAATAACTTTGTATCACTTTCAATTTGATACAAGTCATAAGAACGCAGACCTTAATTTTTGCAAAATTAGTCCAATGAGATTGAAAAAGATGAAAGGTACGCATGGTCAGAACATGAATGTCAAAATTGGACAGCAAAGAAGGTCAGTATTTTTTCACCTACAGTGTCACAAGCCTTGCCATAAAAGCATTTGGAAACAGACATATGTTACCACAGAAGTCACCTTGGCTTTTTGAATCAATCTCTTGTTCTCTCTTTGGATTATTTTTCTTACTGTTCATCTGAGCATGTAACACTTGAATCTCCATCAGCAAACTTCTTCTGTCTGCGCTTTGAAGATAGTCCATTGCTGCTCTCTGGTTAGTGGCCTATCAGCATTAGAAACATATTTAAACCTCCACATTCTAATACAAGATTAATGGTGTGGATATTACAATTACTTATACATTCATAGTGCATATATATTCAAAACATTTTCAATTAAGTCATAATTAAGCCAACGTTATAATATTGGGAAGAACTGCTTGTTATTTTTTTATTTCTCTACTAAACATCAACATTATAGAACCAAAAGAGCTAGCTGTTTGCTGGCAAACTGTCATTTTCCTCACTAATCCTTCCACGTTGCCAAAGAGACGACTGACCTCCCTCTGTCCCATAGCAGCCCGATCACTTCCTCTTCTTACTTCATATCTACAAGCTACCTTTTCTCTTAGACGGTGTAACGTCCTTCTAATTAACTTAATGAAATCAAGCTCAGGACAACTGTGTTTAATTCAACTTGATCTCTGAAGGCTCTATTTTTTTTAGAGCTTGTGCACCCAAAAATCTTGTTCCCGCACCACATCAGGTGTTTTTTTTTTTAAGACACCTCTTCTTTCAAGTCTTTGTTTTCACCCTTACACTGTCAAAACTACCAGTAATACATCTATTTTTAAATGGATTTACACATTAGAAATTAAACTCTAATGCAGACAATCACACTTTAACTAAAGTATGTTTTATATTACCTGCTCTTGTAGTCTGTGCTCTAACTGATTCATCAACGTCACTGCGTCTCTTACGCCCAGTTCTGCCAGTTCAGTTTGAAATGCAGCAAGAAGAACATTTTGTTCCCTCACAAAAAGCTGGTGAACAGCTTGCAGAAGTTCTCCTCGCCAGTCTGAGCTGCCTTCCGGAGATTCAGCATAAATCTACAGTGGTAGAAAACCAATTTAAACAGCAGGATTCAAAGATTACATCAAGAACAGCCGTTACCATTTTTTGTAAGGTGGACGTTTTCACTGGATATTCAGCTTTTCTTAATAGCTACATAACATTTATTCATACAAATGGATTTATTTATTTATTGTACACATTAGGATTTCTCCTGCGTGCACAAATGCTAAACTTCAATCTGTGTTTTAGATGGAAGCAATTTAGCTTCTTAGAACTGAAAACGTAGCCCTGTGGAGTTATTATTTATGTTACTGTATCACGCTACCCTTTTTATTTTTATGATGTTACATGTATGTTCCCAGACTCCCACAGAGCTATGTGGTAGGGGGCAGATATTGTGCATGAAGAAGCTTTAACTTTATAATGATATAAAGTTAATCCCCCCCCATTTTGCATGCTGAAGTAAATGCAGCAGTAATAGAAGCTACCTACATATATCCAAAATACTCGCTGAGGTAATTAGACAGGCAAGTCTTAATAAGATTTAACAGATTGATGATTAATATTGTGTTATATTTTAAACAATTTTCCCCTCTTTTCTCACTACAGTATCTTTTTAATATCATCCAAGTTCTACTACACCAATACATAACAACATTTAAAAAATCTACTTTACCAGCTACTGGAAACATGCTTTCAAAATATAATTACTTTTAAAAGGTCAATCTGTACAGTAAAAAGCTATCAATGCACAGAACAACAAATGCAAGCTATAACTCAAGTTATATTTATTACCAGAAAGTGTGATGGGCAGTTTTATTGCATATTTCTGAAATATTTCGCTTTGCAGCAGTATATTTAGAGCATTTAAACCCGAATTGTGAATGTGCCTTATAAGATTATAATACATTTTTTATTTAGATAGAATCTTATATTATTTATACCTCAGCTTCTCTATGAAGCTGCAGTTTTGCAATCAGGTCTTTCAAAGATGAAACGGTGCTTAGAAAAGCCTTCCGTTCCTCAAGCCAAGACCCTGGCTCTTGCTTAAGAGGTGGCATCTCTCTCTCACCACATGGAAATTCAGTGAGAGACAGCACCTGTATGCCTTCATGATGGACTGCTCTCAGCAAACCCTACAATAAATACAAAAAGAAATCAGTACTGCCAAGTCCTAACACCACCACCACCAACAACAATAATATAGTCTTATTTCATGCATATTGGAATACTGGTACTTGTGACTTGATCGGCATGAGGAAGCTATTGCTGCGTCCTCATATCAAAGACAGAAGCGTCACCCAGTTCTGTATCTGCCAAACAGCAGAACTTATTAGATGGATTTTTCTTCAGTTTCAAATGAAAATTCCCAAAGTTCATCTGTCAAATCAATACTCAAATTTTGAAGTGGTTGCTGATGAAAACCCACATTTAAAAACAAAGTCCTGGGAAACTTCCAGGTGAGCTTTGCAATTCACTTTTTGAACTTGCTATTAAGCTAGGGCTTTGTTGCAAAAGACTTGTTGGCTGTTTTTTTAATGTAATTAAAAGCATGATACCCTTACTGTTTATAATAAACACACTTGTTTATTCTTCTAGTATAGATATAATTATACACCCATAATAATAGAATCTTCAACATGGTGTAATATATGATCATTAAGTTATCACCAACACGCAATAACTATAATAAATTATAATTAACAATAGTGCTATTTCTCATAACTAAGCCTACAGTTACAAACCTTGTATTTAACCTAATTTAACATGCAAAAACCGCACATAATTTATCTGAAGTATTTAAAAATGTATTAAAATACCCAACACTAAAGCTTATCTAAATTCCTCTCTTTTCACTAATCAAGTAGCAGCTAATCTAAGCTTTTGGTACTATCACTCTTGTTCCATAATAAAAATGATCAGTTCTATTTTACCTTAATTTTTTTTGGAAGTAAATCTGTTGAAGTTTCACCTTCATCTATTCCTTCAGATATCGTGTCAGATTCCTGGGTCTGAGCAAGATACATTCTTTGACTCCAGTCTGAACTGGAGTCTAAAATAAAAGGAGAGAAAAACATGAAAGCTGGATTGCTGCGAAACTTTGAAGGATGGGCATCAAAAAAATATTTTTGTCTGTTGTTGTAACAGGTGGCTGCATGTCACCAGAGCTGACTCTAAGCCTAGAGACCACCTGTTTTATAGTTCTTCCTTTTCAGCTTCAAAGTAGAAACAGCAAAACAAAACTAAAATACCATCCAAAGCCTCAAACTTAAAAATCCGAGTTTAGTACTAAAAGAGAAACAACTATCTACAGAAATACTTCCGCCAAATGACCGTAGCTTAATATGCTTATCCTTTGCTTATGAAAATGATCATATTAAAAATTTTTATTGCTCTTGTAGAATTCAATACCTGTCATTATCTCACACTGCTAGGGAGATGTAGCTTTAAATTCTAGCAGGAGATGAAGCAGCTGAGGTGAAGAGACAATGTAAAAAGAATATAGGACCTCCAGTGGAAAGAAAAAAAATCATCATCTGATGCCTCAACTCATCCCATCTCCGCTCTAGCAATTTTCCTTCCATAGCAAATTAATAGACATGGCATACTCAGCACCTTTTCTTAATGTAACAGGCTTCTGCTGTGATCAGGGGAGTAGTTGTTTTTATTTCTTAGAACACAAACTCTTTAATGCTAAACTTAGCATTAAAAATGCAGATTTATTTTATAATGCTGTTTGAAATCTATAAAAACAAGTTTCTTACCACTAGAACCTCCGTCTCTACCTTGATACAGTGGAGAACGTGCTAATCCAGAAACTGGAATTCCCTATATTTAGGAAAGAGAACAATCACATCTTTTATCCCCCACACCCACTCACAATAAGGGAGCTAATTCTAAGGAGCAGGAAACAATATGAGCAAAGTAATCAACGTGGAGACGACAAAGATGCCGATTCACACCCGTCCCTGGTTCACAGAGCAGGACAGGTGCCGGGCAGTAACACAAGGAAGCATCTCATACTTGAGCACATGGTGCCCCAAGCTTTAGTTGCTGAGGAAGGGGTTCACAATCTCTCCCTAGGCCGTGGAAACATCAAACTTCAAAGCTTTATACTGAACATATGGTGGTTCACACTTAACAGACTTGAAAAGGGAATTTCTGTGGGAGCAGCAAAAGCACAAAACAAAGTGGTTCAATGAAGATGAAATAGGATACATACCTCTTTAGCTCGTAGAGATTCTATGAGTTCCTTTAAAGAATTACATTCTTCAGTCAATACTTGCACTGCAACAAACTTCTCTCTCTTTAATGCTTCAGATTCAGAGATATGCCTTGTCTCCATGTCCATGATTTCAGCAGCATGCAGTTCTTGCATTTGGTCGATTTTTTCAGTAAATTCTCTTATGATCTCTGCAATCTCTTCTGAAGAACATCCATTTTGCAAGTCAATTTGGATTTCTGCATTTTTAACTAGGACTGGTGAAGTTTGGATACAGCTGTCAACTTCCACAGTCTTGTCTGTTTGTGACGATGAGCTTTTTCTAATCAGAGTAGACTCACCGGTTGACCAATCACACGATACTTCTGCAGCCTTTTTGCTTTCAGGTTTGGACTTTTCCTTGTCCTTGCTCATGTAACTTGCAAGCCTCTCTTCTGCTTGAACCAGGTTCTCTTTGACTTTGCACAGGTCCTTCTGAAGATGCATCAGACTTGCTTCTTTTACCTGTAAATACGGAGAATCTGGATTGCAGTCCTTCCAAATACTTAAAAAGAAATCTAACCCCCAAACAACTTTCTATACCATTAGAGCTCAGTTAGTCCTCTTTTAAAGCAGTTAGGACTCACGGTAACAAACATAATCTCCTAAGAAATACAGCTCTAGACCCACTATATTGCATTATAGTAGACTGTAAAACCACGTACTTTGGCAACACGTGAAGATGTGGTCTATAGCATCAGCTCTATTCCACTGACAATCGGTACCAAGTGACTGCTTTTCTTAGTGGCATTCTCCACATAAGATTAAAGAAAAACTCAAGCGTGCATATTTGCACAACGAGCCCTGTATAATCACTTGCTTCAAATAAATTATGGAACAATCTGGTTCTTACTGCTAGTTCTTGCTGAAGTTTTTCTGCCTTTTCTCTGTAACTGCTCAGTTCTTCCTTAGCAGCCGCTGCCTCTAGTTCGAGTTCCTTAATAAGCACATTTTCTTTTTGACTTTCCATGAGTTGTGATCCTACCTACGTGGCAACACAAAACATGGGAAACAGTGAAGAATCTTAAGAAGAACACAGTATTAGCAGCACTGATCTCTTTCACACCAATTTACTAAAGCCCCAAAAGAAAAGACCACAGGGGACAACAATTTTATGTTATTTGGATTAACATAGTCTCTAAAAATTCAGAAGGAAAGACAGTTTTCCTAGATTAACTTCCACAAGCTGGCTAAGCACAGCAGGAAAGGCTGCTGTCTTACAGTTTACTGCAGGCAGAAATTGGCTACACCATACAGAAGGCAACGGGAGGGAGGTCACAGAGAGTGGGAAACAAAGTCTGATTGTATTACTGAATTGACAGGATATTTATGATATTAATTCAAGCTGCATCTGGACAACAGGTCTTAGAACCTTTTCCACAGGGTTCCATAATGTCTCTGAACTTCAGAGTTTCAGCAATCGAGCCCACGTTTGGGCTACGAAGCACTTGGAAGGTTTTAAATTCCGATACAACGTAACCAGTGGTTTACGGAAATCAGGACAAAAGTATAACGGTAAAAACTGATGGGAAATACCTTTGTAATCAAGGCAGGAAAGCAAGCTAAAGTAAACCAAAATCAAAGCATACATGAATGAACATGAACAAATCCCCCCACGAAGTGTACAAACTGCTATCACTCCCTTTGCAGTCCAAACCCTCAGGTCATTTTTGTCATTTTAATTTTTGTCCTTCTATCAACCGTGCCATATAAAAGCGTAATTCACTCCATTCTGTCAGGTCAAAGGAAGAGTAAGAAAGTATATGTTCACAATTGAAAATCACCCTACATTCATGAAAAGGCAAGGTGTTTTTATGCAAAATGGAAATTAACAGTGGAGTTTGCCTAAAATAATACCCTTCTCCAGAAATAATAGACCAATTAAGATCTACCCCATGCAGCACAATACTTCTATCACTAGTCTCATTAAAAACTCTTAAATTCATTGTAGTTTACATAAAATAACTGATTTTAGTGAAAACAAGCCAAAAGTTAACGGCATCTAATTACCTGATGCATCTGTATTTCTTCTTGCTTAATGCATTTCTGAATCTCTCCTTTGTGTTTTTCTTGAACTACTACTAATAATTGCTCAAGTTCTAAGAGCCTGTCTTCTTTCACTTTAGCTTCCTTTTGTGCAATTTTTACATTTTCTTTTTCTAGCTCCAAGTTATGATTTACTGTTGCCAGCTGGTCCTCCATCTCACTAAGCCTCTGTGTTAAGAGTGATAATTTTGATTCCATCTCGTTTTCAGTTCTACTACTCAAACTCTCTGTTTGGGCATCCTTACTTGCTTCCTCCACATATTTTGAAGGTTTCTGAACTTCCTGCATGAATTTTCTTTGCTCTTGAACTGCATTTAGCTGAACCTGACTCACAAGAGCAGCAGCGACTTTTTCTACTAGTGCCTTTTCCAGTTCTAGTATCTTCTTTTTAAGTGTTTCTCTTTCAGCTTCGCCTTGCTCTTTCAAGTCTTGTATTTCCTTGTAGGACTGGCACAGTTCTGAATCTTTTTCCTTAATGCATGCGTGAAGTTGCTGCAGTTGTACCTCCATCTTGGTGACTCTTGTATTTTCATCTGGGGACCTACACTGGGTTTGATCTGGCAAGTCTATCTTCTCACATGAGCCTTCATCCACTTTTTCAGTTTTCCCATTGCTCCTGTCTTGTGTTTTTTCCCTGTCGCCTTTCATCCGTGCACACTTATACTTCGCTGTTATTCTTTCATGCTCTTTTTTTAACATACTTATTTCTTGCTTTAGCTTGTTCATTTTTAAGATCGTTTCCTCAAGCTCATTCTTTGTTCGAGACGCCTCTACATTCATGTCTTCTACTTGTTTCTCCAAAGCTGCTTTTTCTGCCAGAACCATTTCAAGTGTGTGCTTCAGACTGTCAGCATCTTCTTGAAAAGCACCAATGTCTGCAGGTACTTTTTGCTCAATATTTGCCAGCTCCTGCTGAAGCTTTTCAATTACATCATTCAACTGCTCTACTTCCTCATAATTTTTTTTCTTGACACGTTCTTGATCACTTTTCAGACATTCTACCTGGGCTTCAAGCTCCCGTATATGCTCATTTTGCTCTTCAATAACCTGAAAAAAAAAAAAAAAATAGAACAAAAGAACTTCAAAATGGGTAACTATTAAACCCTCAGACAATTTTTCTCCTCAACTTCACAACAACAGTTTAATCACACATTGAAACATCTTGTAAAAAAAGTTTGTCCTCAGTGAACTCCTAAACGGAAGTTCTAGGAGAACCAGGGTATCTTCACATAGGACTGACAAAGTAGTCTGTGAACTTAATGAAATGCAAAATTGGTGTGAAAGTACTAAATGAAGTGAAAGCATTTGTAATATTTACAGAGATATGAAACACTGAAGTTTAAGTGTTCACAATATTTTTTTCCCCAATTTGGTCTAAAGCTCTGTATTGTCCTTCTTATCAAAAATTAAAAGGGAAACAAGAGGAGTGCTCAGATCTGTGCTGTTCAATACTCTTACGCAATCAAGGTTTAATATTTTATTTTTACTCATTCCAAGGAACCAAGATTTATGAAACTTAAAACTTACAGATAAATTATCCTGCATTACACTACATACTGAACTTCCTTTTTTTTTTAAAAAAAAAAAAAAAAAAAAAAGCCACTGGATCCTCAAGCTTTTCATGTACAGGCCAGATAAATTCAGTTAGATAAGAGAGATACCGCGCTCTTCGTGCAAAAGCACTATTCATTGAGATGGTCCAATAGATTAATATAGGACAGAGCCGACCAGGATGAATATGCACTTGAAATGCAAATCGACCTTTCATTAAACGTGTTGGAAAAATGCCATTACAACATGCCTTTTAGTCTGAGACCAGAGAAAACACATATCAGGTTACTCTGGCATTTCCTGTCACAAACCTAAAAATATGTGTTTGCCTGCGTGTGTGCGTGTGCACACACTTACGCAGGTGGGCACAAAACCATGCAGGGCAAACATTACCCACAGCACAATTATCCGCTTGTGCTAGAGTTTAAACAAAAGCGAAGAGAGATAAAGTTACAGAAGTATTTATTTTAAAATGTATATGACTATCCAAACAAAATTCAAAAAGAGATTGGTGAAGACATCAATATGGTGAGAGTAATACTTACCTAGATTAGTTCTAAAGACACTTAAAATGACAGGTTGTGTAAGGGGCTCAAAACAGCAAGAAATAAAAGGATGTAACTAAGCAAATATGAGGGTGATGAGTTCATGATGCAGAAAAAAGAAAAACCATCTTATATCAGCTTCTAAAGAGAAATAGCTCAGTAGACACAAAAAATGGAATGACTGGTGGTGTTGAGGAACACTAAATTAAATAAATAAAAAAGCTTATCGCATGAATAATAAGACAAGTTATCAGAATCCAACAGAATAAGTTGTATCAAAATCATTAAAAAAATTCTGCTTGCTAAACAGCAGTGGGAGCAAATTCTCATTTGAATGTAGAAAAATGCCAAAAAGTCCTTTACAACGTCAAAATAAAGAGAGACCAGACTCAAAGTAGTAAGCGTAAGAAACAAAAAGTAGATATATTTTCTTAAAAGTAACATCTGGAGATCTGAAATGAACAGTGCTTCTACACTGCAAATGAAAAAGGCAGGAGGAAATCTGTGAAGAATATTCAGAAAGGGCTATTATAAAATAAAATCAGTTATGTTAACTCAAACAGCTAAAAACTCTAGAAGGGCATTTTAGAAATATGAAGAAGGGGAAAAAATGAGGAAGAGAAGGAAGATGACTAAATTTATTACTAAAATAGCTCCCTTTACCTCACAATACTTCATCAGTTAGTTAGTTAAATAGACAATAAGATGACTTTGCAGTAATTATAATATGTACAAGAATGAATGAAATGTGACCGTATAAATTAGAAGGGCTGATTTGCCAACCAAGAACTGCGTTTTTTTTTTTAAATCCATAGAGATTAGAGGAGGCTCAAAAACACTGAAGAAAATATTAATAAATAATTGATTTTCAGAAGAAAAGAACAGTGATCCTAGTGACTGCTACCGAGTCAGCACAATAGCTTCTGTTCTTCGCAACATAATGGAGCGAAGAACCACATAAGGCAAACACAGCAATTAAAAGAAAAGCACTTAGAGGGATTAAGATGTCGACGGGATTAGGAAAGAGATTAGCCTAAGAACAACCTATTCATATTTACTACTGATCTCATAACTAAGCAAACAGAGTACTTATTTAATGTCCTGTAAAACATAACTGAGAGGATGAAAATAAGAAAACGAAACCTCCTGTTATAACAGGAGAAGAAAAAAATCATTAAAATGAATTATACCCGAATACTGGCTAGTTTTTTCAAGGCAAGTAATGTAACCTTATTACTGTGGTGATTGTACAAAGCAGACCTGTTCTGGATTCTTGAAGCATGATCCTTCCTAAATTCAATTCACAGTTTTGTTATTATTCACTGAGGTTCATTGTAACTACATGCCACACATAAAACCTCAAATTATCCATCTCGGTCAGACCTCTGTTTCAGGGGATTCAAGATGTCCTAGTACAATATTACCCTATATGTTCAGCCAGCTACTGAGGGGTAAACAAAACTTCCCATCTTACCTTAAGGAATAATATTTGTTTTGGGGACAAAGGTTATGATTAGTAAATTTTCATGTTTAAAATGTTCACAATGCAAAACTGTTGTTGAAAGGATCCAATTTTCTGAAAACAAAAAAGATCCAATTTTCTTTCTATAAAAAATCCAAGACCTGTGGTATGTTTCTTCTGGCGTTTCTATCAATGCAAAATAAGCAGTATTTCTGTTGAAATCAAATATCTGTATAAAACGTAAGGAAGCCAGAAGATGAGGTTCACTCTCACAATAACACATAATTGAAAAGTGACAGAAAGCTGCACGTGTTAAATCTCAGTGAATAAGACGGAGATGAATCTGCTTCTTTCCTTCTTGCTCTACATTTCTAATAACGCACAATGTTTTCTTTGCACATCCACCACGCTTCAATCTGGATTAAGGATGTTGCCAACATTGGTATGATGACAAAGTATTTACACAAGCTCACGGAGCACATGAGTTTGCTAAAGAAACCTATCAAATCCAACGTGATCCCAAAGCCATCACTGAAACATAACACTGAAAATGAGTCATTGTAAGGAAGATGGCAGTAGGAATGCTGAGACCGAATTCAGCTAATTACATACACTTAAACATTCAGAAGTATTAGAAGAATAAGGAACTGAGGAGAATTTAAGACAAAAACTCAATCAGAAATAAGGCAGAATAATACAAAGAAAGCAAGCAAAAAGTATGCTTCGTAAAAAAAGACACCAAAGAGGAAAAACAGGTCAGCATTAAAGCTTTGCTTCAAACTGAAGCCCTAGCATTTTTAAATTAAGGCAGCAATAGAAAACAAAGTAATTGGTGGAAGGACAGAGGTTTTTTTTTTTTTTTTCCTTAAGCAGCTAGTGACACAAAGCAGGACTCCAAAAAAGATTTCAAAAGTATGTACTTTGTTGTCAGTTGTGACTTCAAGTTGCCGCTGCAGTTTTGCAATTTGCTCATGAAGATGATCTATTTCCTGCTCCTTTTCTTGCATGACGTGAGCGAGCCTCCCAGCCACTAAGCGATGGTCCTTTACGGTGGCATCTTCAGACTTCTGGATCACTAGTCCCAGTATTTCCATTTCGTCCTAACAAAACAACCCCAAAACCACCTTACAGCTGCACATAATATTTTCTGCATATTCTTGTATGAGTATTTAAGGCATAGGAACTAAAATAAACAAATTGCATGGAATGAGAAGTAATTATATGAGCTTTTTAGTATTTTGCAAGTTGAATGGTTGAATGCTTGAGAAAGAGTTTGGCATCTTGGCTTTTTCCAAGAATTTACTTCTGGGGAGGAGGGAGAATAAAACTCTACGCTTCTTTGTTACACAATTACCTTAAATAATTTGTTCTCTTGTTCAAGTTCTTGCAAATGTGTAGTGGACTCCTTTCGCTGAATTTCCAGTTGCATGTGCAGTTGCTGAATTTCTTCATTTTTATTTTCTAGCTCCTCTCGAAACTGCTCCAGTTGTTCCTCAAGGTTTGTGACCTATGTTTCCAAAACAAACGGTGGCAAAGGAATAAACAGCCATAGAAAAATTAAATGTCGTGATTTTCAGGAGTAACGCTTACAATAAGCTGTTTTGCTACGCACAAACAAAAGAACGGGTACTCAGTGACATTCTGAGTCCTTAAATTGTATGGAATTTTAAAACCCACTAAAAATCAGCTGAAATCACTATGAAGTTCTTAATTAGGCTGAATTTTTATTCCAGAATCAAAATGACTGTTTTAAGTCATAAGCATTAACATAGACATTAACAACAATTATCACGGCCCACAAGAGAATTTTAAAGGAATTTGGACTGCTGTCTCTCTGATCTATTAAAAATTTTCATCTGTATAGTTCATGAAACTCACCAGAAAGAAAAAACTGACCAACCAAAATACAAATGGAAACACGGAAAATCCAACAGGCATTTTACCTCCTTTTCCTTTCTGTCCACAGCTTCTCGTTCAGCTTGCAGCTGTATTTCAAGAGGTAATTCTCCCTTTACTATGATGGTGCCAAATTGTTTCCTTTCCTCCACCTTTAAACATACATTATAAATTAGTAACTTCATTTGCTTAATAAGAAACAAATAAAAACGATACACAGTTTTGTTCTCAAGAAAATAAGGAAGTAGCAAATACACAATAATTTTAGATCAGGCCATACCTTTTGCAAGTTGTCTGCACTGATGATTAAGGCTTGTTCCAGTTCTCTTATCCTGTATTCTAGTTTCTCAATTTCTTCATTTCGCTCTTCTATATCTCTCTGAAGTTGCTCCTTAGCAAGCAAAAGCTCACTGCATTTGTCTGTTTTTTCTTTTAGATGATTTGTTAACTGTTCAACCTGGCGACAATACAAACAGGAAGATGAATATACTGTATCGAGATTGGAAGGGTTTGCTAGCAATAGCAACAGCACTCATGTGTGGCAGAGAAAAAATATCCCTCTTTTTTTTTCTTGTAATAAAACTCCTACTCTTTAGGTGAAACAGAATGTACGGTTAGAATACTGTAGTGGTACATCCAAAAAACACAAACAGCATTTTTTAGAAGTGATACGTTCATGCTATATCATTTACTCTCTAGAACTAATCTTGTCCTTCTGAAGCATTCAGACTTTCTAGTCAGTTGAAAGCAAGCAGTGTGGCATCCCTATCAGCCAACTAAAAATACACCTTTAGCACCTACGGGGGAAATGTCAAGGCTCTTTGCACCTCTGAGGTTCTAAAAGTCTGTGACAAAATTATTCAAAATACGGAGTTGATTAGTGACAGACATCCTAAAACTCACTGAGTCTTTAACGTTGAGGAGAATTGCTATACTTGCAATATCAAGAAACAGCAAGTTTTGTTTTCTTGTGGGTTTTGTTAAATGGGACCAAACAGAAGTGATGGATGACATGTCACTTTCTGCAGAGGACAAAGCAACCAAATAAAGCATGCTGAATCTCAGTAGTTCAGACGTTTGCAGCTCAGAAACAACATATTAAAAGAGTAACTGAAGTAGTGAGATAGGAATGGTCCCAGATCTAGCAGTATTTCAGAACTGATTAATCAAAATTACAGATGAGAAATGTGTCACAAATCCATCGTACTAGGCCTCACGCACAGATAAGACCCAAGTTATATTAAGCAATCAAGCAAGAGATGTGGAAAGTAATGTTTTGTCCCACTCAAGAAACTGATTGCAGTATTTACAATTAGGGAGTTACGATGTAGCCAAAAGGTAGAAGACTCAAAGCATTTCAATAGATAGGACAGAAGAACACCAGAACATAAAGCTGACAGGATGGTATTATTGACGTTATCCATCCATGAGCAACAGCAAAGTCTGAAGTGACCACAGAAAAGTCCTGATAGAGAATTGGAAAAAGAAAAATCAAGTCTAGAGCAGACTATGACAACCCTCCCTGAAATAAGTTGACAGAGTAAGTTGAAATAATAGTAAAAAAAGAAATGAAGTTATCAACAGAAAATGATCACAGCATTCAGGCAAAGCAGAAGAGCATTTCAAAAACCGTGCAACTATGAAAAAGTAAAGAAGCTACCTCAGAAAAGCAGGAGAAATGATGATAAAATGTATACTTATGAAATACTCCAAGTAATATCGTGACATCAAAATATACTATATAGTAAGACTATGTGGCTCATTTGATAGAAATTAGATGTAAATCTAATACCATACTGAGAATTCTGTCTGTAAACAGATAATACTCAGCAGCACTCAGCTCTAAAATTGCTGCTACACCTGTGGTGCTCGTGGATTCTGTCTTCCTGCCTATTAAAAATCCTAATTTAAAAGCATCTAGTACAAACCTTAACATTTTAGTCTCAGTTCCAGCCATCTTTCATCTTAAAGCATGCTTTAAATTTCTAGTGTAGCATATCTACCAACTTGGGGTATACACATCTGTGTGTACATGCATGTAATTCAGGACGATTTCCACAAATAGTTTCTGTACAGAAAAACAGGCCTAATTTTATTATTCAATCAAATTGGATTTTTTTTTCTTGGGAGAATTTTTTTCTTTTTAACTGTGATAATTTTAACTAGCAATTCACATGCTACCCATGCCTCAAATTATGAAGAGGCACATCACAAAACCAACTCAAAATGAACACTCTGGATTCAGGAAAATGAAGTGTACTAAAAAGCCTCCCCCCTCTGTGGGATTTTCCCGTGGGACAGGAGCGTGCCCCCGCTTTGCAGCAGGAGCAGACAGGTTCAGAACGGCTCCATAGGTGCTGGTCAACACACGTTCAGCTAATGGCCGACGACTCCTTGTACGCAGAGGCTGATGACAGCCACATGACTCACTATGGACTGAATACCTTGCAGGACTTGTTACAAACCTTTTTATTAAAATATATTTTAAAACCCCTGGAAGTCCACCCCTACATCTGAGAACTGTAAGTAAATAAATATTTTGACAGCCTACGTTTCACATCTATCAATTGATGTCCTATTACTATCTATGGTCATAAACTACGTAATATAGAATACTAAGTGTTGCTAATATTTAAGAACTGAATGACAGCAGCTGAACTGAAAGCAACAACTTTGATTTGAAAATCGCAGTGCAACCTAATAAGAAGCTGAATACTGAAAATCAGGCAAGATAATCACACAAAAGTATCTGCCTTGCTCTGAAAGCAAAACATAAGAAAACCCACCAAAAAATAAAAGGCAATTTAATTGACAAAAAGGTCACCAAACAAAACAGGCACAAAGCTTCATAACATCCAGCATTTGCCCTGCTGTCACTTTTCTGGATTTTGCTGGGCCTAAGAGTTTTCTGTGACTTCCTTGAGCTGCTCTTCTGTAGTCACCAGACTGTTTCAGTGGAGACAGGCTTTCCCTGGGGAGGCGCACGCAGAGAGCGCGGCTGCATCGCAGGTCTGATGCCTTGGTAACTCCGTCCCTGCTGTGCCTGTACCTGCCCAACCAACAGGGTGTCACAAAACGACACAACAACAGGGAGAAATGCTAAAGTATTCCTGAAGGTTTCCACAGGCTTTTGAAAAGCAGATTTTCTAAATTAAGTTATGAGTCTTTTTGAAAGTTATGAAGTTTCTGTGTGTCTGCTACTAAAAACACCCAACCAACTCAAAAAACACCCAGGGGACAGTTTCCCCACATTGCCCCAACAACATTCCCTTCATCTCAGGGGATTTACTTTCCTGGCTTGTGAATGGATGCAGGTTAGGTACACCATCAAATAGTTTCCTTAGGGGATCTGAACAGACGTCAGCGTGCTGTTTGTATTCCGGGAGTACAAGTAATACCACGCGTTACCTCTCTGCTCTGATGTTCACTGACAGGCTGAATCCTTTGTGGAATCTTAAGCTGTTGTTCCAGCTTCTGTATCTCTTGCTGGAAAACGTCTCTCTCGTGCTCTCGGTCAATTGCTTGCTCCTGAAAGGGAAGAAATAATGTGGATGCACCATTTAATGTAAAAACTATCTAAATTAACTATATTGCAACTTCTTATTTCTTTGAATGTGAGGCTGGTAACAGTATGTCAGTATTTTTAAGGTAGCAGAACCTCTGGCAGCTTCTGCTAACAAAAACTACATTCATCATTCAGGGCAATGCATTTCACATTTTTTAATAAAAAATTGATACAGTCAGTATTATTTCACAAAAATGACAGTTTTGTTTCTTCTGTTCAAAGTACACTGAACAAATAACAATTAGCCAGCATTTTATGGTTTTCTTTCCTCGTGTTCATCTTTGATATATGTATCATAAATAGAAATTAAGACCAGAAATTAACTTTGTGTTAATATTGATGAGAAGCCAACAGGAAAAAAAATATAAATTTTGCATTTCAGTTTTACTTTTGACCAGTTTCAGTTGTTATATCCCAGTCTGATATTTGGGGAATACCTCTTTCTACTGGAAATAAGGCACAACTGGCAGCATCCAGTGAAACATCACCTTTAAATGCCACTTTACCTTTTCAGATGCACTGAAATAAACTAGCTGAAGTATCTCATGCAAAGAGGAGCGCTCTGTCTAGCAACAAAATGTTTTGCAAAAATTTAGGAAACCAGAATAAAGCTTCAACATTTACAAGTTGCAGATTTTAAAACCTCACCTGCTGTTTCAAGGAATCGGCAGAATTCTAATGCTGCTGCTACAAACAGCTACTCATCCCAGCAGTCTGTAACTCTCCAGTTTGTGCTACTGATAGTCCCCAACCATAATGCATTTATGACTATGGGACTTGTAATAGGAATTTTTACTTCTGAACCTTGTCCTATTATGACACACTAGTTTCAGTGAGAAAAAGAACCTTACTGCAGAAAATTAAATAAAGCAAATCCACTTGTGCCAAGAAGTATCTGAAAGATCTCTCCTTTAATACTGGATAGTAATAGATTATGCGGAGAAGGTGCCACAGGATGTTATATTTTTTATGTAGAAAAAATTATTGTACCCTACTGCTGTCAGCTAGAGAGTTAAATAAGAAGGCACAGAAATAATATTTTTCTCTCAACAGTAGCATAGGACACTTATTAGGAATAAAATGGGAAAAGGAGGAGGTGGGGAAGATGCTGTTTGATGAAAATGGGGTAGAGTCTGAAACAAAATCAGAGACAGCCTGAAGCAGGAAGAATTTGGGTACAACAAAGGCAGCTGCCATTGTGAATGGGGACAAATGCACAAATAATATAACGGGCTCAAAGGTGTAGCATTATATCTGGAGGTAGATTTTTGGATACTATGAAGGAAGTTATAAAAGAAACTTAAGACAAATTATGCTTTCAATTTCCAAGTACAAATAAAGCTGACTACTTAATTCCAACAGGCTTTGTCGAAAAACATGGAAATTCCACAAACTGTTAAAAATGAACGTCACAAAAATTTGTATTTCCTCATTAGTTTTAGAAGTTTCCCATACTAAGTTACACTTAGAAATACAGGGCAATTAAATTCTTGGGCTGGAACCTATAGCACTGTTACTGTTGCGTGCTTCTTTATATTCGCTCAAAATCTGAAAAAACTTAGCACTTCATGCTGAACAAAACCTCAGCAGAGGTGCCCACCTATCTTCATGAAACCGGCCATTAACCATACTTACATCTAGAAATTTTCTTGTCTTTTCAAGTTGCTTCTCCAAAGCCTGGTTTTGCTGCCTTATGTCCATTAGTTCTGCATTTTTCTCTTGCTCTAGCTCTATGAAACGGTTGACCTGTTCCTCCAAGTCTATTTCCAAGACTTTCACTTGCTTCTGAAGGTCATCATACTCTTTTTCAGCTTGACGCTGTACTTCAATTTTTTCTTTCATTAGCTTTTCTGTTTCCTCCAGCAATTCTGGTTATAATAAAAGCATCACACTCTATTTTTAGACAGGAATAGTTAGCAGTATTATGAAGCAAAACCACTCCCCAAGGTATCCATGCTGTACTCTGCAGAAGGATGTGAACTGGTTTGGGTTTCTACTATTCTTCTTTTTTTTTTTAAATGTATTTTCTTCTGAGAAGTAATAAGGATTACCACTAAAACAAATTCATATTAAAATTACTATCCTTTAGTTAGTCTTCAGAGGACTGATAGTGAAGTTGTATCAGATCACTTCCCTGTTTAAGTTTCATATAAATCAAAAGGTCTTTGTATCATTGAATAGAAAAGCAAATGTATGGGTTCAAACTACGGCTAGAGTCAGCAGGTCAACATAAACCCAAGATTAACAATGAAGTACAGAAAACCCAACCCTCTTCTCATCCCCAGTGTCAGTAAAATCAATCCACTGCCAGTCTTCATCATGTGTGATACATACAAATAATTTGAAGGAAATATTGAAAGACTTAGCGAGGTTGCCAGGCAGACAGAGAGGGAAATTACTGACCTGTAACTGGAGCTTTGTAAAATCAGTGTCTGCATGGATGCCCAATTTTGAGTCCTCATGAAAAGGCTGGCAAGCATATATAGTAAAGCCCCAAACCACTCTATTAAGACTCTTAAGCCACAGCCCATTGAAGTACATATTAACTAACTGTACAAATCCCTTGAGGAAAAATCCAAACTGTAAACTGCAATTCCATTTGGAGAATCTTTAAAACATGATTGATATTAAGACAAAACCAGTAAAATTTACTTTCACTATAGAAGAAAGATCCTTTAGGCACCATCATCTTACATCATATTCAACAAATTCTCATTTCTAGGTAACCATTATATATCAATATAATAGAGTGTTTAGTTATCATAGTGAATGACTCAACTGTATTTGGAAAGAAAAAGAAAATAAAGACTATAAAAATATCCCACCAATACCATCTAAGTATCTGTAATTCATAGGTGAATAAGATGATGGTTATTCATGAATTTGCTTATTATGCTTAGTAATGATAAGAAATGTTGTTAGCGAAATGTAAAACTGAGTATGAAATACAACATCAAAGCTGCAGGCCAGTAAGAATTACAAGTAATGTCAGTAAGCCAAAAGCCCAATAATCCTGATTAACAATGTCAGTACGTGTGAGTCTTCCACCCAGTTACAGATTGGCCATGCAACATACAAACACACCTGCTTGGGAAGCTGCATCGACTGCAGCATCTACTAGGCCTAGGAGAATAGAGAGAGAGAGAAAACAAAAAAAGAAGCAAAGTAATTTACATGCCAGCTATAGTTTTCTTGTGGTGCAACAATGTAAGAGAAAATGAAGCCAAAGACAGATATGGCATTTAATGACAAAGTTGTTGAGATAACTTAGGGAATGTGGTAAGTTATTCTGGTATGCGTGATATAAGTACCGACATATATGTATAGAATTGTTTATCCTTACAGTTGTTATACAGGAAAATAACTTTAAAATATTTAGAAACCTGAAACACATAACAAATAACTAAACTGGAGAAGGATCATCTTTACTATAAAGTAGGAAGCAAGAGATGGTTCTTAAAATTTCATTGTTACACAAAGCAGATGCAGGAAATTGCAAATACACACCAAGATGTGTAACTTATAAAAACAGCAGCGTTATAAATTGCCACAAACTTTTAGAAATGAAACAAAATGCTAATTTCATTCTGCTGTTTACAATGTAAGCACTGCAGTCTTTGAAAGATCAGTACCTCTTAAACATCACTGCTCTAATTTTCTTCCCCTCTCCAACATAAAAATATTAGGTTACTAGTTTAAGGAAGAATTTAAAGATGCATTTACATCTCCGTCATTTTTTGCTTAAATGTCAAGAAAACTTATCAAGGTAACATTAGGTATCAGATATTAAAATATCACATTTTCATTAATGATTATCACATTTTTATTAATGATTACAAAGGGGAGGGGGAGGAAGCCTTCACCAAGATTACTTATTATGTTATTTGAAAGTATAAGAAAATCTCATAGAAAAATTGTGAGGAATACATACGCTGCTCGACTGGCCCCGCATCTGCTCTCATGGCATCCTTCTGTCTGGAGAGTAACTCCTTTTCTTCCTGGATCTGCTGCTGTTCAGCCTCTAACTCCTGCAATTTGTTACCTGTACACAGTAGTTCTTGCTCAAGATGGTCAATTACATCTGTTTTTTCCTGGAGTTGTTTTTCCAGAAACGCTTTTTCATCTGCGTAACCATCAATAAGGCCTGGAAAACATTGATTTGGGGGCAGATTTAACAGACAATAAAGAACAATTTGAATTTTTAGCATGGTAACGTCACTATAGTATTCTCACGTGAATGCACATGCATGTCAGATACTCAGCAACTGACAACTTCTACTCCTGTCCTTCCATGATGAAGAAACTCCAGGAAGAACAGTACAAGACCAAATATAGCTCTTAATTTTTTCTCAGCGCAAGACCTCTGGAGCAAACAGGAACTCCAAAATCAAGGAAAAATAAGTGTGTAATAAATACAGGGCAAATAAGAAACTTAAATAAATTCCTTATACAGGAACAGACGATCAGATTTTGAAGTAATTCAGGTGCCAGGTGCCATTTTAGGTGCCTCAAGACACGTACGTCTGACCTCAAACCACAGTTTCTGTAAGATCCTGGGTCTCCTGTAGGTCAGGTATCATATAGATCCCTCCAACACCAGAAGACACCAAAACTGGCCAGGGGTGTCCATGTTTGGTACCTGAATCACTCCCTAAAGTCCTGTAACAGTTGACATATAAGAAATTATTTCATTTCTTTACTAGTAATGTGCAATTTTTAAAATAGCACAGACCAATTAATGATCTTTTTAGCAGAAAATTTCAGACACTACCTTGAGAGTATGTCTTGTATGTTTTTAAGAATTACTTCACAGTGAAGTAGTTTATCTAAGGATCTGAGGAGGAGCTCTATTTTAGCTTTGCGAATGGTATTACGGCTGTAAGAAATGGCACCATCTTGCAATGAGGCAGAAGTGAGCACAAAGCTAGAGACTTGGGAAAAAACAGAGAATTTCCTTGAGGGCTGCAGAGACTAAACTGAGATCCTGTAATGGTACTGGCTTCAGAAGATTCACATCACTCCCTTCAGAAACATCTGTCCACAGAACACAAAAGGCATTTTTACCAAGTGACAGAAGGTACTAAGCAGGTGTGTTCTGTCATGTCTGAGACTGATGGTTCCAAATGATGTCTAAACTTTCTGTTGGACACACACACCTCTCTCACTGTAATCAGTGGTGTCCCCCAGGGGTCAATACTTGGTCCAGTCTTGTTCAACATATTCGTCAATGACCTGGACGAGAGGACAGACTGTACCCTCAGCAACTTTGCTGATGATACCAAACTGGGAGGGCTGGCTGACACTCCAGAGGGCTGTGCTGCCATCCAGCATGACCTGGACAGGCAGGAGAGCTGGGCTGGGCTAGAGAAGAACCTAATGAGGTTCAACAAGGGCAAGTGTAAGGTCCTGCACCTGGGGAGGAAGAATGCCAGGCATCAATATAGGTTAGTGATGGACCTGCTGGAAAGCACTCCTGAGGAGAAGGATCTGGGGGTCCTGGTGCATAGTAAACTATCCATGAGTCTGCCATGTGCCCTTGTTGCCAAGGGGGCCAATGGAATCCTGGGGTGCACAGGGAGAAGTGTGACCAGTAGGTCGAGGGAGGTCATTCTCCCCCTCTGCTCTGCACTGGGGAGGCCACAACTGGAATCCTGCCTCCAGTTCTGGGCTGCCCAGTTCAAGAGGGGCAGGGAACTACTGAAGAGAGTCCAATGTAGGGCAACAAAGATGATTAAAGGATTGGAGCATTTCCCTGGTGAGGAAAGACTGAGAGAGCTGGGACTGCTTCAGGGAAGCAGAATCACAGCGTGGTTGACGTTGGAAGGGACCTATGGAGTCCCTTCTGTAGGGAGGATAACTATCTGGTAACTTCTGGATACCTATCCAGAAGGCCAATAACATTCTAAAATTTGCAAAGAAATTGATCTAATATGCAATTTCTTTTCCCAATTAATAGTGCAAAGTGAGTGCAAAGTGAGTGCAAAGTTCAACAACTCATCAAAAAAGCTACTCACCTTCAGCTTTACTAAGCTCCAAGGCCAACTGCTCTCTGGCTTTGGTTTCTTCATTAAGACGTTCTTGTAATTCTTCCTGATACTTCATAAATTCTGTGGCCTCTTGTTGCTTTTTGAAGGACTCTCGCATGAGCTCTGTTTGAGTAATTTTAGCATGCTCAAGCTACCATAGGAAAAAATTACAGAAGTTAGATAAACCAAAAGTTTTCTGATAAATAACTGTTCTATCATTCCTATTTAATTACAGTTGCTTTACAGGATGATGAGAAGTCTCACATAACTTCACTGAACATTCGGTAAGATCTTTACTGAACAAACATTCGCAGACTGCAATAGGAAGACTGACTCGGTACAAAGCTCTAAGAAAACATGGTTTGTCAGTTTAGTGAATTCAATGAGCCACCTGGCTAAATCCGTCTCCCTGTTCCGGTAACTCCTAGTTTATGAGTTTACACTAGATTCACCTTTATTTACATATGAGTTTTGTACTAAATACGAGTAAGCCATCAGCCACCATATCCTTTGAATGGCTAAAAAACATTGCATAAAACTGGCAGAAGTTTTTATATAAGCTGTCACAAGTGGTGCTTCATCTCTTTTTCTCCCTAAGATGAAGATAACTTATAACACCAGGAAAATGTGAATTTTGAATATACTTCACTTTTCCACCAACAAGGCAGTAAAGCAATGCTTCTTCTAGCTGTGTGCACCTAATAGAATTATCAAGGATTTTTTACATTCATCTTTGCTTATCTGATGGGTTAATATTTAATGTGTACCACCACAGATGTAGTGCAATCTCATTACATCACTAGCTACTGGAAAACCAGGACTGAAATGCATTAAAACGTGTACTTACTGACAAGTTTAAACATACCCAAAGTGATCATTTCAAAAAGAATTAAAATGAGAATTAGAAAAGCAAAACAGTAAAGAAGGAACATTAATGTTAGAATTTTTGATTACACAAAACGTTCATCTAAGATAACAGCAAACTGGAGTCGATTACCAAGAATATCTCTATTTCTCAATGGTTAACATTTACAGCCTACATCCAACTCTTTGAGAGACACAAACATAAATTGTCAGAGCTGAATCAGGCTTGAGTACTTCGTGTGGCTTGTATTCAAAATAAGACAGCTTATTTTGTATAAGCACAACGTCAGAAAATGAAGTAACACATATTTCCTGCTCTTTTTTTTGTTTGTTTTCTTTTCCTTTTTCATACTATGGATATTGGCAGACTTTTGTAAGATAGTAACATCTGTGGCTTTGCTACAGTTTCTGTAAACATATTCTTTCTCTTAATTTCCTCAAAAACGAAAGCTTTCTCACCCTCTTCAACGAAGTTTGTGAGTATGACTAGCTTGCTTTAAATCTCAGAAAAAAGGGTAAGGAACATTTCATAGAACATTGCACTCAAAATTATCCACTTATAAATAACATTACACTTTGAAAAGAATGTCTGAATAATCGATACATTCTCTTTTATAATACACTGAATTTAAATACTTGATTTCTTTTTACAGCATTCCTTTTTAGATAGATATCATTAATGTAAACTATTTATTCTGACAGGAGTTAAAGAAAGGTATAAATGCTGCAGACAAGTATCTGCATTGGTTTGAGATATTTTAAAAACACAGAGCATTCTTACTTTATTCTTACATTTTGAAGTGCTTAATGAAAGACCTGTCTCAGGTAAGAAGGAAACATAGGAAAGGTTTACTGTATACAGACAATCATAATGGCACCAAATGCATCAAATACTCAAACTAAAACTCAGAATAAAAACTATTCTCCAGTTCTTTTAAGTAATAGCAACTCATGGTATTATTAAAAATATGATAGGGACAAAGCAAAAAGAAGCACAAACATGAATGTGAATTTTCAAGAACAAAAATTTCTTCATGGGATCACTGGAGGTCATTAGCAAGCTCGTGCTAGTTAATGGTCCCAAGTCAGCGCATGAAAGCTATAAAGGAACAATTTTAACTGACTGCAGCCCCCTCCCCCCCCCAGCGTAAATCATTTACAGCGAGAAAGATGTAATAAGTAAAACTGAAGTGCTTTAAAAAGAGATCTCAAATCCCTGTAATTGAATATATTTCTGTGTCTGCCAAATTTCTTTTGTTAGGAAGGAAGAGAGAGAACTGTATAATTAAAGCTTTTTTAGTGTCCATTAAAAACTGTCTAGGAAAAAAGCCTGTCAGCAGTACACAATAACTTCAACAAGAAACAAGTTTATATAATTTTTCACTGCATACTCTTCTATTAAAGCTGATTTAAAATACAATTTCTTTATAAATTTTTATACTTACTGAATAGGGAGGTGTAGGCAAGGAGATCTTAGAGACAACTTTTAAAATGTGCCCATTTTTTTTGTGGCTGAAGTGAAAAATTGAAGTATTTACAACTACAGAATTATTCTCATCCAAGTGTTCAGTGAAAGGGAAAGGATATGGTAAAGGCACACGAGATTCAACCTCATATGTGTTTTCTTCTTGGCCTTCAATCCACAAAGCATTAAAGAGATTAGATGCCCAGTAGGTGCGGTAAGAATCCATTCCAAAAAATACCGGTACTGCTGTCTTCTCAATCGTCACGTGGATATTTCGCACTAGCTAGGCTGGTTTTAGAAATTCCTAACAGGAATTTGTAACAGAACATTTACATTTAACAGTCTGAAGACACGTATCAGCACTGCTGGGGACAAACCTACTCGGAATCAGCAGGAAGCCTCAAATCACATTCTCAAGCAGAGTAATTCTGGAGCAAATTAATCCAAAACAGAGATGTGCAAGCAAACTTCATACGGTGACTCCTAAAAAATCCTTCTTAGAGAAGTTTCACATGAAAAAGTAACAGAAATCTTCCAATAGCAGCTGGCAGGTAACTTCCAAGACAAGGAAGCGTAACTTTGTTTTACCTGCACAGGTACGCTGCAGCAGAACAGAAACTAAAAATTCTTTTCCATCTCCACTACGGCAAATGAAAGAGAAATACAGGTATGTCATTATGCGCGTTCATTCCTGTTCTTGGAGTTAATTCAACAGCAAGAACTTTCTCAAACTCTGCTAATTGAAAGGCTTCCTGTTAGTATCTCCCAACCGAAAGAGTTCAGGGGAGTGGCCTGATTTATCTACCATAACACAAGCAGGTGGAATTTGAATTGATACACCCACTATATGCCTCGCCTGAAAAGACTCAAACTGCACTTAAGGTCTGGAGGCGTGTGTTCAGGCAGGTCTCAGATAGTTACTTTGAACATTTTGCCAGGTTTCTCTCACTCTTTTAAGTTTGTTTTAAGAGATGGGTACATGTCTGTATGCACAATACAACTGATTTAGAGGAAAGGTTAAAATCTTTTCTGCCTGTAATTAGTTTTAGATAATAAAATACTGCAGAGTAGAATATTTAAAAATAATTGTCAAGTCATCTACAAAAGCTTGGTATATACAGGAACTGTATATAATCCAATAAGCACATAACAGACATTGCAAACCAGACAAGTTTCAACACTTGGAAAGTACCTCTATGGAACAGCCAGAAAAGACATCAATATTTATACTTAATACTGTGAGAAAATGTGTAAACAGATTAACATTTTATTAATTTAAAAATAACAAAAAAAACCCTAGACATGATCATCAGGGATAAATTCATATTTGTATAATCTGTATTAATGAAAAAAATGTGTATGGATGTGTTTGAGCCAAACTACAACTCTCTTGCTGGTATTGGCAAGGTCTCAGCTACAAAGCTATGAAAGGAAAATACTTTCTTGATCAACTGAAAATAAATAAAAATAAGCTGCTTAGAATACACTAAGTACTTTCATAGGTATCATGAAAAGGAAACAGTTACTGCAAAAATATCAGTCACAAAAGTAAAGTAATTTTAATTTAGGGCCATGTATAAAATTATTGCCTTTAAACACCAGCAGTGAAATGATCAGAAAAAAGAACACCAAGTGGAATAAATAATTGACAATACTGTTATAATCACAGCATGAATTCTTAATTATTGTAAAACTTTGAAGTTGTTTTTCTTTGTATTATCAGGTCTTTAAATGCAAGATTTCCTATAAATGCCTAACTATATATATATATATATTTTAAGACCCCATGTATTGGGGTATCTGTGTATCCTTTTTTGTTATTATGTAATTAAGCTGAAAAAAAGACTTCAAGAAGCCAAACATCTCTTTTTAATTGAACTGATGCACAAACAGAAGAGAGCTGTTGCAGAGTGAGTTTTCAAATAAATGCAATGCAGAACTGATTTGCAAGATCCACGAGACTACCTGCTTTAGTAAGCCAGAGGGGGGTTCACTGAATTTCTATTTACATTATTTTTAACTTCAGTAAGTTACAAACTAGCCTTTTATCTTTAAAAAAAAAAAAAAAGTATCACTTCGCTTTTGAAGTATTTTGCAAAAGCAACAAATACTTGAACATTTAAAATCTTTAAAGTGTTAGATAGCTGAATTTTCATATTACTTTTATCATCACAGATTTTTTTTCTCCTTTATTTCCAGTCGTTATGTTTTACACATTTTACACCTACAGACAAGAACGCAATGACTTTTTAAGTAGTATCATTACTTGGTTAACTAATAGATGGGTCTGTAGCACAAAACACACTCTAGCCTTTGAATTCTAGTCTCAAACAGATTAAAGAGCTGGCTCTGAAGACAGAGTCCTTCAAGAGCGCTTAAAAAGTTAGTGAGATAGAGAGTATTTACTTTGCACCTTCAAATTGAGATGTACTAAATCTAAAGGCAAATAATCTAAAAGTGAAGCACATGCTATCTATAATCAGTGTGATTTCAACCAGCTGAGCTCAGTACATCACTCCCATTTCAGTTAATGGGGAACCACTCCAGAGAGTAACTAACACCCCCCACACAAAGTACTCCACAGCAAACAGCAAGGGCTCGCACACTGCCTCTTTTTTGGAAGCTGTTCCTGCATTCCATACCTCACATAAACGTTTGGAGAGCTGGAGTTGCAGACTCATTTTCTGACAGCAAGGTGGATATGTGCTTAATTGGCCATGTTTAAATCATAGGTGGAAGAGACAGCAGAAGAGCTGCACCTTCTTGGCGAATCGACTGAAATGTCTGTCACGAGAACTGAGCATAGTTCCCCTTAACCCTCCCTCTTCACAGGGACCAGCTCAACGCGCCCTGACACCTCCTGTCTCATCTCTGGATTGCAGTAGAACGCAGATGACCCGTGTGAGCAATGAAAAAGAATGCCCTGGATTGACAAACCTGCCCAAGTTCAGGCTTCCTCTGCAGTCCAAAGCAAATTTCTAACATAAATCCAAGTTCAGCGTTCAAGTCATGCTGGAGCAGACTTTTTTGGGCGTAGGCACCTGAAGTATTGTTTCAGCTTTCAAAAAGAGCCTACAGGCTCTAGACTTACAAAAAGACATTAACGAGAAAAATAAAGAAAAAAAAAATAGAACCACAAAATTCAAAATGCTTCACTATTAGATCACCTTACCTGATTTGAAGTTTCACTGATAGCTTCCAGAAGCTTTTCAACAGCCGCCTGTAGTCGAGAACTGATATTTAGAATGAGTTCTTCATTTTCAGGATCTATTTCCACTCCACTTTCTGCAAGATGCTGGCTCAGTAGTCCTTCATCTGTTGCTCCTGCCCACATGTTAATTTCATCACTTCCCATGCTACCACCATGATATGAAGAACAGGACTCTGGAAAAACAATAGTTACCTTTTCATACAGTGCTCATACTTCAAATGAAAAACTGTACTTCTGAGTTATGATTAGAAAAACAAGTTAAAAAATGAATAAAATATTTGTATCGGTCACAAAGACAGAAAGGGAATTACTGCATACTAAAACTTACACAAACAAGATACACAATGTGTTAACTAAAAACAAGCAGAAGGGAAAGAGAAAAGGAGATACTAACAGAGAATATTTTAGATATCCTTTCAGTATGCTTTTGGGCTTTGAGGCTCACCTTCAAACCCTTGTTACTATTAGCAACTCTTACTACTTTGAATAACTTGCAGTAACAGCTTGCAAGATTTTCTTTAAAATACAGCCAAGTAAAAAACACCCAGACTGTCAGTCCCTGTTTCACCAACACCCAGCTACTACACTCACATGCAGTGACACAAAGCTCTGCAAGTTGTGATTCAAAAGCACAGACTCAAGTGAATAAGGGGAAAGACACGCACATAATTCAGACAACTTCTCAGGATAAGCAGACTAGAATACAGAACATCAAAATTCAGCATTATTAGTAAACTGAAAATTGATTAAAATGGACGGCTGAACAAATCAAGTACAGTGCAGGGGGCCTGTAACTGTCCTATGGCATTAAACTGTAAATTTGCCATATTTCAAATTCAGGGCTGTATTTAAGCAAGACAAGTGAAAGCAAACTCCTGAGATTTTGTTTAAAAATCACCCTTTCAGTATGAAATATCAGTACAGTAGTACATCACCACAGTAGATAACTACTATTGATATTGTGTTTTAAAAATTAAGAAGTGTTACGTTATTAGGCTGTTAGATCTGAAATATCAAGGATAAATGCTACTGTGGGAAGTTTTTACAATGAAAGTTCATTTTAATGAAGCATATTCCTGAAATATATTTAATGCATTTAAATATTAGATGTTGGTTTTGCTTAAGGTTTTCTCAAAAAAAAACCACCGTATTTTTGGGAAATAGCAGTATCACTAAATGAGTTAAGAATAGTCAGTGCCTGTTGAGCAATAAAGTTGCAATACTGGGGTATCTTTGAAGTTAAGTTCCTGGTTACTCCATGAATTGTGACTGCTGAACTGGAACAGTTTGTTTAGTTACAGAAATTGAAATGAAATTATATGAGGTCAATTTTACAAATTGCCTTTAAAAATGTAGTCAGTACTCTTGTTGGATACAATTTCCTTATACTTGCTCTTGCCCCTTAACCAGGTATGCAAATAACATTGGAAATGTAAGTCCTTTTGTTGATGATGTTTGAAGCTAGCAAAAAAGTCTGATTCTAGTTTTCAGGTTTGTTTTCAGGGTTTTTTTAACAAATTGAAACATAATTAACCACCTGGTTTACTTACTATACTTTTATACCTGTAAACAATCTGATAATAACATCTACGCATTTGTTTCATTACGGATGCAGCTGTCTATAGGACCCATAGACAACAAAGTGATTTACAGTGATTTTAATTTAGAAAGGTTTTTTGTTCACTTTTATAATTGCTAAGATTTTTTTTTCAGTCATTTTTTCTTCTAGTTATGTAACATCACTGTTTTATATCTCCTTTTAGATATGTGGGACATGCCGTTACAAACTCTTTTCACACTCCAAAGGGAAAAAACAGAAGCACACTATATGCATGAATGGAATGAATAACCAGATGAACAGAATATACATTCACATGGCACCTTTCACCTACACAGGATTTCAAAGCACTTTTGAGTACTGCACTTCGAACTTCAGTCACAAACTACTGCAGTGGGGTCACCCTAGCAGAGGCTGGCAGTCCTTTTCTGCCAGCACGCTAGATACTTGCAATAGGTTTGTATAGCATAAAGGCTTTCCCATGACATCCTAATAATCCACCCCCTGCAGTGTAAGGTGGGCTGCAAAATGAACAATTTCATATTTTTTATGCAATAGTATTCTGATTTCTCACCACTCAAATTTGGGTTAGCTCTGGGTGTCTCAAAATACCAATAGTGATGCAGAAGCTTTAATATCCTCGGAGTAGAAAGGACCTTCATTTAAGATGGACATCCAGCAGCGTAAGTATTTCCAAATGCTGTGCCAAGTACTCATTACAGACTGAGTCAAAGGAAAACATATTCCCTACTGAGCCACCGACACACTTACTGCAGCACCTGATGCTCTTTGGAGGCCACTCATCTCAAGTACTGACCAGGTAAGACCCTGCTTAGCTTCAGAGATCTCACAAAATAAAAGCCCACAGTACAGTAGCACAGCTATAAACAAGATAAAACAATGACATATTAGTTATTGCACAATCTAATTCTGTCTTGATGGAGAACAAATTATCTATGTAATGGTCCTGTTTTCCTTCTCAGGCTTAACCCATAATTCGTATCCTATAGCCCTTGTATTTTAGTAAATTATTTGCTTGAGAGGTACAGTTCAATTGTGCAATGGTGACTGTGTGTCAAACACTTGTAATTTGCTTCCATTTCTTCTGAATAAATACAAAATAAATCAATGTTAAAATATAATTTCGTTATATGAAAAATCTCAGAACAGAACATCATAATTTACCTGAAATATAACTATAAAAAAATGAGGAAAGAAAAAATGAGCTGTCACCTAAAGTATAATTCAGCATGCGGAAACTTCACTACTCCCAAAGGAAAACCAAAAAGTATCAATGCCCACAAAACCTGTAATAATTCTGTTTATACTGTAGGGTTGGCAACTCAAGTAGAATAGCAAATGATAAATGCAGATGTCCATATTAAAATTTCTACAAAGTGGCACTTAATAACAGGAGTTCACATTAAATGTCTTCCTAACTGCAAAGTGAAAAATCTCCGTATCTTTTTCCCTTATTGCACAGGAAGTTAGTAAAGCGTCTTTCCAGAAGATTTTCAATGGTGGAGGCAAGAAACAGAAATGCTGTCAAGTCTTATTAACTGCCCCTGGCAGTTGAATGCCTAACCCCCATTTTACTAGTCCTTATAATGCTGTTCAACTGCCCACCCCAGCAGAACTAAAATCAAATTCTCTGCCCTCCAATTTTCTTTTTCAGTCAACACAAAAAAAATAAACAGAATATAACTGGCCCAAATAAAACCATCTTCTCCTTGTGTAAACTCTCTCCTTGTAACAAAAATAAACAAAGGTTCATATTGTTCCCTTTGCCACGAAGCTTGCAGTTCAGCACGTCAGATGTCGTGGCCCACTAAATCTTAAGAAAAGTGCTTAATTATACAGTCCTTACCCAGAAGTTTCAGATACAGAAGTTGTTTATGAGCTGCCAACTGACATCTATTAAGCAATACATATTTTGCATCACGTAGAGCTAGTATCTCAGTTTACGCCTCGGGTTCCACTGAGGAATTAAGGTTAGGGGTTCACAGAATCACAGAATCTTCATGGTTGGAAAGGACCTCTGAGATGACTGAGTCCAACCACACACACACAAAAGACCCCCACAATCTCAGCCACTAGAGCATGCCCTGAAGAGCCACGTCTACACGCTTCTTAAATACCTCCAGGGATGGTGACTCCACCACCTCCCTGGGCAGGCTGTTCCAGAGCCTGACCACCCTCTCAGTAAAGTAATTCTTCCTGATATCTAATCTAAACCTCCCCTGCCACAACTTCAGACCATTTCCTCTGGTCCTGTCATTATTCCCTTGGGAGAAGAGGCCAATACCCACCTCCCTACAACCTCCTTTCAGGGAGTTGTAGAGGGCAATGAGGTCTCCCCTCAGCCTCCTCTTCTCCAAACTAAACATGCCCAGTTCCCTCAGCCTCTGCTCATATGATTTGTTCTCACTAGCTTGGTGGCTTTCCTCTGGACACGCTCCAGCACTTCAATGTCCTTCTTGTGGTGAGGGGCCCAGAACTGAACACAGCACTCAAGGTAAGGCCTCACCAGTGCCCAGTACGGAGGCACCATCACTGTCCTACTCCTGCTGGCCACGCTATTCCTGATACAGGCCAGGATGCCGTTGGCCTTCTTGGCCACCTGGGCACACAGCTGGCTCACGTTAAGCCAGCTGTCCACCAACACCCCCAGGTCCTTTTCTGCTGGGCAGCCTTCCAGCCACTCTTCCCTGAGCCTGTAGCGTTGCCTGGGGTTGTTGTGACTGAAATGCAGGACCCGGCACTTGGCCTTATTGAACCTCATCCCATTGGCCTTGGCCCATCGGTCCAGCCTGTCCAGATCCCTCTGTAGAGCCTTCCTACCCTCAGGCAGATCAACACTCCCACCTTGTTTGGTGTCATCTGCAAACTTATTGAGGGTGCACTCAATCCCCTTGTCTAGATCATCAATAAAGATATTAAACAAGACTGGCCCCAAAACTGAGCCCTGAGGGACACCACTGGTGACCGCTCGCCAACAAGATTTCACCCCATTAGTCACAAGTCTCTGGGCACAGCCACCCAGCCAGTTTTTTTACCCAGTGAAGAGTACACTTGTCTATGCCATGATTCGCCAGCTTCTCCAGAACACTGTGGTGGATGGTGTCAAAGGCCTTACCAAAGTCCAGTTAGACAACATCCACAGCCTTCCCCGCATCAAGAAGGTGGGTCACATGGTCAAAGAAAGAGATCAGGTTGGTTAAGCAAGATGTCCCTTTCATAAACCCATGCTAGCTGGGTTACAAGCTTTAAACAAAAAATCCCAGTGTTACGGCGGTTCAGTGTATAAAGCTATTTACTACCTTGCTTTTGGTACAATGTTTGGAAACAAGTTGCTGAGAAAGCTGGGAAGAGGGTTTAATGTCCAAGGAACACCATAACCGCAACCAGGGTAACCCGCATTACTGCGTTCCCTTGATCCAAGGTACAACGTCTGAGGGAGGAGAACAGCAAAGCCTGCTGGTTCTGTCACCATGATTCCTGGCCCAAATGTCCAGATGTAATCAACTCGCCAGATTACTTTGCACAAATGCCATTCACTTCCAATGATATGTTTTATGACTGAAATTTGAACTTTACTCGCTCTGCTAGAAATAAAATCCTGTGCTAGCCAATAACCTAGGCGAGGTCCCAGATAAACCTCTGTATGCTGTATAAATCAGGTGGTGGTTATAAGTATGTGACCTTAATGATTGAGCTTTATAAAATGCCGTAACTCAGCAAAATCAGTAAGCTGAGTTTTGCTTGTCAATAAATATGGATTACATTCAGAAGCTTGGGGAGAATTGAACACATTATTTTTTTCTATCTTAGTATTAGATTGGTACAAATTTGTTCCCATCTATTTGGCTAGGTATTACAAAATGCAATACAATGCACAGGTTAAAATACAGAAGTAGTGCCTACCTATTTCTTACTTCCAGAAAACAACAGTGAAAAAATTTTAAAAACTTATGTTCTTTTGGGCCATTCAGCAGAAGTATAGGAAATGAGTAACAACTGTCTTGTTGCTGAAAACACTATTAGGATTTGTCACCTAATTCCATTCAAAGAAGGATCAAATACTTCAGCTGACGAAACAGTATGACTGCTCCCATGGCTGGCTGACCCCAGTGGCAGAGCTATGCATACAGCAAGGATGCGGTTGTATCATTTGGGAAAGAGAAAAGAAAAGGGAACTGTGAATACAACCTCAGAGGTACATCACAAACTATACGTTCACCCATTATAGCCACTGTAAGCCTGGGTCCTCTTTAATCCTCACTCTTTTCTCTGGTTTCTCCTCCTTTCATAACTATTTCTGAATGTAAGGAAACATGCAAAAAAGAATACCAGAATAAAAAACTGGTATGTGGACAGCTCGAATGCCACTCTATACCAAGGAGGGGCATTACAACAGCAGAGATACTGCTTTGCTACAGACTAGTCAAACCTTACATGCCTCTTCAAAACACACTAATAGCAAACACAAGAGTTAAACCAGTCAGCCTTCATCATGAGCACAATGGAACAGAGTTCTCTTTAAGAGAGTACTCTCTCATCAGAAGCTTTCACAAGAAATTAACAATACATTCCAATGACAGGGGCTGTTGTGCATTTAGACAGGAGTATTACGAAAGCAAGACATAAGTCTATATTGTACTCACCCAAAATACCAAATAAAGGTACTTTTTAAACTGAGTTGTTCTACTTATAACACAAGCGATCCATATCAAGGATTGTTAATGACAATAATTAGTGACAAATACAAGTATACACATTGTTGTGCAGAAGCAGGCAGAAAGCAAAGGCGTGTATTGTGCATGTACAGATGAGAGCAGTGAAGGCCAACAACCATGTGTGAGTGCTTTGTACATACAGTTATGTATTTATTATCTGAGAAAAGGGAGCAATATTCTCAGAAAACGAGAATGAGGGAGAAAAGGAACACTGCGTGTTTGCTGAATAGGCATGATGCAACTATGAACTGGGTGCAGCAAATGCACAAGGTAATACCACAGCACATATAACTGTGACAATCTGTGACCGCTGCCTTCCTAAAGAGAACACGTTTTTATTTCTTTGGGCAATGTATGTTGTGAAAATCCCAATGCTTTTTGGACATCTCAGCCTATCCAATGAGAACACAAAGAATATAAAAAAGTATTTATAAATTGCTGATTTTAATATAGAAAACATTTAAAATGCAGTTTACATAAAACCTAAGACTACCTCAGAATACAAAAGGAGATGGTGGTAAACTTTGAGCCTGGTCACTGCTCCTTTTACCATATGGCTAGGAGACTGTGGGGAAAATAACTGCTTTAACAACTGCAAATTCTATTCATTTCCCACCCCAAAGTAAAGTACAAGAATACTTCATTTTGAAAGAAGCGATTCCTTCAATTATTGTAGCAGAGGTTCTCAATCTTTAAGGTCTTCTGGACAAGTATCAAAAATTAAGGCCAGAAGTTTAGTCAACCAATCTAAAATTTGGAGGAAAAGGTAAAGCCTCAAAAGTCTGAGTTTTCAAAAAATAATTTTCCTCACAATTAAATACAGTGTAACATGCAGAAAGCATAAGTTAGGAGGTTTTTTAATGAAACAGCAGCATAAAATTGCTGCTAACTTGAAAAATTCAAGAATTCTTAGACCGTAGCTGTACACATTTCATCACAGACAACCTTCTGAGTAATCAACTGAGAGAGATGTCACTGTGCTACAGAGTCATACATTCTTTCTTAATTTGCCCCAAGGCTTATTGTGACCTATATTTAAAGCCAGAGTGAATCAGTAATATTTAATAATCTACATTTTGAATGAAATAGGTAAAGTTTATCATTGTTTACCATTTGTATTATTACTCTGTAGCAGATGCTTTCTTAATACGGCATTGTAGTATTCGACTCCCAGTTCTTTCTCTCATTTACAGTAGTTAAAATTCCAGCCAAATCCAGATGAATAATGTGTTTCAGGCTGAACCAATCTGTTGTAGACTGCCTCCCCATAAGATCCAGAATGAATGCGCACAAACTTAATGGCACCTAACCAGCAATATGATAGAGCGCCTAGTCTTGCCCAGAACAGAAATGGACAGAAACTGTCTTAGTACAATCACAAGAAATTAAACAGAGCCTGGGAGAGTTCTTAGACACTGTAAGCAATTAACTGCAATGTTAAAACCCTCCTTTAGGCTTGTGCCAACTAGCACTCCCCCAAACTTGCTGATGGGCAAGTCTTGGCACTTAGAAAGTTCCTGGAACTGTTTTCAAAAGGCTACTTGCATGCAATCACCCTCTTTAGGAGGCTAAGGAAGTCCACAAGCACATATATACACAGGCTGTCCCATGCCAGCTGGCCTCAGTGACCAGTAATATCCCTATGTACCATTAGTAGAGATACGGCCTTTGACACCATTTCCCATTCCTCATACATACAGAGGAAGGTATAGAGTTGGTGGAAGATGCCATGGAGCTATGTTCCATTCTCTTTCTCTTTGCCTCCTTCAACAGGAACATATTTATTTCTGTATTTTTCAATCACTTTCCCATTCTACTGCAGACTTTGCAACAGGACCCTGGATACGAGTCATTACTGGCTTAGGGCATGACCCAGACAACTCCTGAAATGTTGTCTCTGAAGCAGAGTGACAAATAGTTTTTCATTCAAGTGACAAATAGGTTGGTTTTTTTTTTAAATTATTTTTAATTAAAGAGACTTCAAAACTAAGGTTATTTAAATATATAATAAAACTATGCAAATGCTACTTGTTATGAAATAGAAAACCATACAAGCAGTACCTTTTTCATATCCCACACGGATACAGGGTTTTATGGACTCCTCTGTTTCTGTGTCCCATCCAGCTGGTTTGGAAAGCTGGACTTTCCCAGTCCGATCCAGTAATCCAAGAACATGGTGACCAATTGTCTCCTCCATGGCCACAGTTGTCTTCACAACTTCTAAAAGAATCTTCATGAGTTTCTCATTAGCCTTCTGCAAAACATGCCTGCAGAACAGAAACTGATCAGCCCTTTGATTTTCCTGTTTTCAGAGTGGTTTTTATCCCTTATACACCCTTGCAACCAGGAAAGATTTACAGTTGAAACAGTAAAATTCTTTTTCAAGACTAAACCCCACATCATATAATAAGTATTAACATATGTAACTATTAATACTAATGTATATGTAACTACATATTTAAAAAATTATAGATGTTAACATATAAAAATAAATATTAAAAGCGCATTTGTCTTAAAAGTCACTCTTTTTACAAAATATATAAAAAGTCAAACTATTTAGCAACATTTGTACTTTTATCTTGGTATTTTATCTAGTTACACCTTTGAAACAGATGTCTACATTTGCCTGGTATTCATTATAAGCTTACTCTTTTCTCGAAGTGACAATTAAAAAGGATTGTTCCTCTACACAGATCAAAAAAGTTACAGAATACTCAAAAGATATGGTCAAATACAACAAATATATTCATATAAACTTATTTCAGATATGGACATACAACGTGTATAAATGATGCGCATGATTCTATATGAGTGTAATATGAAAGATACAGCAAAATAGGCTAAGATTTGTCTCATCCTCTATGCCATTACATTGTTTTATAATAAATAAGACATTGTTTAATCTAAAGTATGTACACTTAGAAATATGGTTACCTACAATAAAATTGCCATTATCATTAGATTAGAACTTTTAAATAGTATTAATTTAACAACAAGAACATGATTCTCAAAAAAATTGTAAATAATAATGTTTTCTTAACAGTTCTAAGCACCTTTCTTTAGAAAGTAGAGCTGAAGACATTTCACCATGTTTTCTTCCTCCATCTTCATCCTCAAAGATCTGCTCTCTCACATCGTTTTGGTTTTCATTTTCATCCTGAGTAAGTTTTTGTAGAGGTAGAGAAGACAAAAAGAACAGAAATCCTGTCATGCCAGAATCAACATATTCTTCTTACACGCAGTAGAATATGGAATTTAAAACGTAAATCAGCTGTGTTTTATTAATAAAGCTACACCAAATTACAAATCACTAACTACTCTTCCCACATGGAAAAACTGACTACAATGTAAATAAAAACAAAACAGGAAATCCAAGGCAGGGCCTATTGGAAAGAACTTTGTTATACTGATTAAACATTTATTGTACTTTCTGTTGGTGTTGCTATAGCAATATGAAAATGTGAGTTTACCTGAGCAAATAGCTATAGTAATAATCCCCACCCTCAGGCTATTAAACTAACTTCTGCTGACCTAAAGTAAAAAACTATGTCTACCAGTATCACCTCTTGATTTTAAACCTGCTCTCTTGAAGCAATATCCAACATCTTTTAGGAAAATATATTACATAAAAGGAGTCGCAGTGAAAACAAATCTTACTGGTTTTACATGCCACAGCTGCCAAGAAAGTCAAAGTCCATATTTACCTCTGTTTGTGTGCTGCTGTTTCGTAGCTCACAAAACAGCCTCTCTTTTCCGGATACAGAATGTTGTTTTAATGATTCCAGTTCCTCTAAAAGCTTTCTCTCTCTCTCTGCAACCAGGCTGTCATTCTCCATTGAGACATGCTAAGAAAGAAGCGTTACAGGGGCACACACAACTTCTTAAGCTTCTGAGTATTAGCGAGTCCTGTCACTTCTGGTTTTTTACGTATTTTGCACAATGAAATTTCACTCCACTTCCTTAAATGTTACAAAGACATTGAAAGCTTTCTAGAATGGAATACAGCTAATAAATACTTTTGGTATTTTAAACCTTCTTTAAGATTTTCACACAACCTGTATGCTCTTATGAAACACGGTGGTTACAATGCAAACTGGAAGGTTAACTTCTAAATATTACACGTTATAGTATGTTTTGCACAAGAAAAAAGATGAAAATAAGTTATTTTTATAAAAAGTCTACACACATTCTCTTTTAGAAGAACTAGAAGCGTTCATGGCTTAAATACAATGCATATGTTCCTATGCGGTTCTTACGGACAAACATCCTTGGCAATAAAAACTGGAGAAAAGCCAGCAACGCAAGTTCTACTTATTGTTTTTCATCAGTTTCAGGAATTTGAACCCCTGATGAAAGATTTTGCAAATTTACAAAGATGTAAAAGGAGAAAGGATGTATATATTGAAAGGAAAGATTATCAGGATAAATGATAGAAAGACACCCACAAAGCAGCTACGAGAAACAGATACCTGACATTGCTAGAAAAGACATCTAGCACACGAGTGACTAGCTCTCCTGATTCCCCAGCTCCTTCAGCCCAAACTTAAACAGAAGAGAACCAGGCTTGGATAAGGTCTGAAGAAACTTAAAGCTCCACTCCACAGTGAAATCAAAGAATTTTAGATTTCACTGATTACTCTTCCCAAGTGCATTTCTGTACCCTTACATTGTTGAAATTAAATCAGAGCAAGACAAATTCTTCTGGATTCTGTCTACTTTGTCTTTCAAGGGAAGGAATCCTTGAAAACAAGTCTATAAATTACATTCTTTTTGAAGACTTAATTATTAAGATGAGTTAATGAGTTTCATTAGCATACGTACTACAGGCTTTGAACAGATGCAGAGTGACAGGACGTTAAGTTTAAAAAAGCAAAGAAACAGTGATGTTTCCCACCAAACCCCATAGATTTTGTTTCATTCTAACAGTCAGTAAGGACTCCATCTCCCATGATTAGAAAAAAAAGAAGGCCAAAGCACATTGCAGAAAGCCATCAATACTGTTCAAGTTCAGACCTCAAGTGGGGATAAGTTAAAATGAAGAATTCTATAGTACTTCTAGCCACGGCTGGCGGTTTCATTGATGTAAACGGATGCTAGCCTGCATCCTTCCATCTATCTGGAGGGCAGTATGGTTTACAATGCAGCTGCACTCACTCTTCTGGCTGCTGTGCAGCACTGCAGGCTTTCTCCAGATTTACAGAAGTCAAAATTGATCACTGACTGAGCTTTGATTAAAGCAATATGCCTTTTATACATATATGTGTTCATAAACATACACACACACAAATAGATATGTGTGTGTGTGCACATGTGTGCGTATGCATGCATATAGTAAATACACGTGAGTCTCAATACGTATAGAGTTACAAGTATAAACAAATATGAATCTGCCTGGTGATGTCCCTTTTTTAACCCATGTTAACTCAATGAGTCAAACCCCATATTACCTCAGCTAATTGTGCTTTAAGACTCTCAATCTCTGCTAAGAGTTGTTCTTGGTTTTCTTTTTGATGTTCCATTTGCTGCATATGCCCTTGTCTCAATAACTCTGTTGCCTGCTGATGTTCCTGGTATTGCCGTACTAGCTCCTGTCGCATGTCTTCCAAACGTTCCTCATATAACAACAGCTGACTTGATGTTTCTGTGTCTGATGCCATCATCTCAATGCAGTGCTGAAATATGGGAACTATTTTAGCATTTTATGTTCAAGGACCGTTTCTGGTAAATATTTAGATAAATTTTAGAAAATACTTTCGTAATTAAAGTAGCTATCATGAAAGTACTATCTTGTTGCCTGGAAGATCCAGGCTTAGAGTTATTCTCCATTTAAAAGACAGCTTTTTAAAAATAACTGTGAACACTGTTAACTCTTATGTTTTTTAGCTGGCAAGGAGCTCAACAGAAAAGGCAGTGGCAGACACACACATGCGTGACTATATGTGAACAACATCAGAAGTTTGAGAGGGCAGTATCATACAAACCAGGAATATTACAGTTTATTCACTGTCAAGATAATATAAGACAATAGTATTTATCCGTTACACAAATTTTAAAGTGTTATTTTTGCTTCTACTAGTGCCAAATTTAATAAAAAAAATAAACTTAGGATGAAATTGTGGAGTCAAAATTTACGACTGCTTTTAACCATATTTTTTCCACACCTTACCTCCCGCCCCATATTTGTGAAGTGCTAAATATATATTTTACAAGTTTTGGGTTCAGCTGATATCCTTTATCACAAGGGACTCAAACACTTTAAACACTATTTTTAATCTGTTCCTTGTATAAACACTAGAAGATAACCTATCTTACAACAAGTCTTTATACAATTTATTGCCTGCAATACAGTTCTATCCATGAAATGGAATAATTATTTTCTTGTAACTGGTGTCATATTCCTGACAGCAGAGCATAATGCTATGATAGTCAGGTAGAAGACAGGAAAGAATCATGGAATCATGGAATCATCAAGAGTTGGAAGGGACCTCTAGAGATCATCTTGTCCAACTCCCCTATCAAAGCAGGATTGCCTAGAACACATCACTCAGGACGGCATCCAGGTGGGTCTGGAAGATCTCCAGAGAAGGGGACTCCACACCCTCCCTGGGCAGCCTGTTCCAGGGCTCTGGCACCCTCACTAGAAAGAAGCTTTTCCTCATATTTGAGTGGAACTTCCCCTGTTCCAGCTTATGCCCATTGCCTCTCGTCCTGTCACTGGGAACCACTGAAAAGAGTCTGGCTCCAACATCCTTCAACCCACCCCTTAGGTACTTGCAAGCATTAATAACGTCTCCCCTCAGCCTTCTCTTCTCCAGGCTAAAGAGTCCCAGCTCTCTCAGTCTTTCCTCACCAGGGAAATGCTCCAATCCTTTAATCATCTTTGTTGCCCTACATTGGACTCTCTTCAGTAGTTCCCTGCCCCTCTTGAACTGGGCAGCCCAGAACTGGAGGCAGGATTCCAGTTGTGGCCTCCCCAGTGCAGAGCAGAGGGGGAGAATGACCTCCCTCGACCTACTGGTCACACTTCTCCCTGTGCACCCCAGGATTCCATTGGCCCCCTTGGCAACAAGGGCACATGGCAGACTCATGGATAGTTTACTATGCACCAGGACCCCCAGATCCTTCTCCTCAGGAGTGCTTTCCAGCAGGTCCATCACTAACCTATATTGATGCCTGGCATTCTTCCTCCCCAGGTGCAGGACCTTACACTTGCCCTTGTTGAACCTCATTAGGTTCTTCTCTAGCCCAGCCCAGCTCTCCTGCCTGTCCAGGTCATGCTGGATGGCAGCACAGCCCTCTGGAGTGTCAGCCAGCCCTCCCAGTTTGGTATCATCAGCAAAGTTGCTGAGGGTACAGTCTGTCCTCTCGTCCAGGTCATTGACGAATATGTTGAACAAGACTGGACCAAGTATTGACCCCTGGGGGACACCACTGGTTACAGGCCTCCAACTTGACCCTGCTCCATTAATGACAACCCTCTGAGTTCTGTCGCACAGCCAGGACTCAACCCACCTCACTGCCCCCTCATCTAGCCCACACTTCCTCAGTTTCCTAATGAGGACGTTATGGGAGACAGTGTCAAAAGCCTTGCTGAAGTCAAGGTAGACGACATCTGCTGCTCTCCCCTCATCCAGCCATCCAGTTATAACATCACAGAAGGCTATCAGATTGGTCCAGCGTGATTTACCCTTGGTAAATCCGTGTTGACCACTTCCAGTAACTTCCTGTTCTTCAATGTATTTGGAGATGACATTCAGAATGAGTCGCTCCATTGCTCCATTACCTTCCCAGGGACAGAGGTGGCATATAATTTAGGTCTAAAGTTGTCACCCCTTTGAAAGGGAAAGGGAAATGGAAATATTTAACTGAAATTTGCATCTTAATTTCTTTCTTTGCAGTTTTCGCATTGAAATGAACCACAAATCCATTGGAAAGATTATTCAGATTTGGTGTTATTCACTGCTAATTTTTTTTTTTTTTAACTTTTTTTTTTAATACACTTACCGGTGCTTCTTCTGCCATAAGCCCTTTGACATGTGAAAAAAGTTCTTCAGAAATCACTGAATCATGTGTGGTCTGTCCTAACATGCAATCAGACTTGCTATTACAATGAAACTGTTCTCCAAGGGAGTTGATCTCTCCAGACTCTTCACCGAGTTCCTTGCAAAGTGATTTAAATTCTCCTTCAGGCTTACTGCCATCTTCTGTTGCTTTTCTAAAAGGGTCGTCAACCTCTTCTTCATTATGTTGCTTTTTAATTTCAAAATGCATTCTCTGTTTATGTACAATCTGTGTTAGTACTGCTTCTTCCTTGTGCCTAGCAATTCTCGACAATTCAGTCTGTCTGGCAAATGCTACACTCATTGACACAATGACCTAAATAAGTAAGAAAAATCTGTATTAGTTTACGCTTCACAGTATCTTCTATTGCTAAAGAAATCTCATTGCTGACCATCAATAACATAAATAAAAGTACTAAACCTTCTGAAATATGATTCTTTTTTTTTTTCCACAGAGAAAAATAAAAAGGTAAAAGAACATAGACTTCTTGCCAATTTCATCAACAGTTACATCTTAAGATACAGACAAACTGTATTTAAAGCAGTTTAACACGCTATTTTCAATTAAAATATACTATTTAGGACAGAATTATCTAGTTCTTTTAAAAAAAAAAAAAGATACTATAAGGTAACTTTAAAAAGGCCTGGCATATTGACTTAAATGCAGGCCATGCTAAGCTTCCTCTAACTAAGCATCCTTTGTAAATGTTTCACTGACATGGAATTTTGGGCTGTATAAAGACAGCAGTGGCAAACGAAAGTGACAGTATTTTTAAAACATAAAGTAACAAAATAAAAATAATACCTTTGCTATTTCTTCTTCTAATCTTTCCTGGTACTGTTTTTCTAGCAACTGAACAACATCCAGATCATTCTGCATTTCAGTTTCACCAGCACACTGTAAGAAAACCATGAAATCTCAGATCATGTATTTGTGCTTTTATTTCATTAATTTTAAAAGTTTCAATCTGACAGATATTTTTTTCCTCAATTAGGTTATCTTCATTTCATGTGAATCATATAATTTTGTACCAGAACACAGAACAACTGGGTAAAGGACTTTGCCTAGTTTCCACTTCAAAATTACTTTTAAAAGTTGAGTTTGCAACCACTGTTATTCCAGCACTATTTTCATTGTCAGATGCAGAGAAAATAGGTAAGAAAGCACAGGATCACAGTACAAACCAGTATCACTATTTTTCAAAATGCAGAATTGTCGAGCCAGGTTTCCAGTAGTAGGAGGAGAGGAATGTATAGAGACACTTCCATTTGCATTTGGTTTTCAAGCTCTTTAAGATTACTTTTTCAAAATTTCTTTGAAAATTTCTAGTCTATATTAAAAAGTACTAGGATTTCACTTAAATCACTCTTCTTCCAGAACTAGTGTTTAAAGAAAAGTCGCATTTTACAGACTCCTGAAGCACTCTCACAATTTGGACACTATTTTTTTTCCACTTTAGTAAGAAACAGCCTAAACAAAATGTCTTGTTTTAAAGAAGAAATTAAAAACAAAAATAAAATTAAAACCCAGGACCTATAAAGGAAGCTCGTAATTATTTCTCATAATTTCCAGAAATTTAAATCTTTTTCCTCTAACATGGACCATCTAATAGTATAGTATATAATTACTTTACTACTACCAAATATACTCCTGGTTTGTATACCACTAGTCCACATTTCAATTTTATCTTACAACCCAAAGCATCTAAATTATATTGATGATATGTATATTAGCTGTCAAAAGACTTATACGATACCTCCGGTGCTTCATCTGCTTTTTGCTGATGAAGATTTTCACTGAACTTCCTTTCCCTGAATGCTTGTTTTAGTTTTATTTGTGAATCTGTGGATACACTAAAAAGATAAAAGCAGCAGAGGAGGGGAAAAAAAAAAATTCAATATTTCAATATAATTGATGTTTCATCTATTCAAATATACATATATCTTATATATATTTAAAGACCAGTAACTGCAAATATTTTCTTCAGAACACACATCTTCCCACGCCATTGAATTATTAAGTCAAGTATGTGAAATTATCTGCCTTGCATATGCAATTTGAGGGTTAAAAAGTGCCTGTGAGTTGGAAGTTTTGAAATTACAGCAAAAAAGCTCTTTTGTATTAAATGACAGTTATGCATTATTCCAATTATCAAATCTTCTTCAATGAACTATAAAAATGCAATATATTCTAGATGTTGCCCTACTTAGTTTGCAATGTTTATCTCATTTCTTCATAACACTCTTAACACTTGATGGACCAAAACAACATAAGATCAATGTGTTTACAAAGAATTTCTCAAATTTTGAAGTAAAATGAAGTAAAACATGAATGATTATTTGAAGCACTTCATTTTGTACACAGTGCAATGTTACAAGCATTAAAGAATGGACTAATACCTCGTGTGGTCAGAGGGTACCGCAGCACTCTGAAGCTTATCCTGCAAATGGACAATCTCTATAGTGTATCTCTCTTCACTTTCTTTCAGCTGCTGTTGGAAATAGGACCTGAGGTGTTCCAGTTCTTGAGCATGCTGTTCTTCAAGCTGTGTTTTAAGGCTCCTTATCTCCTTCAAACAGTATTCTTGAATTGTAGGATCTACATGTAGGGTATTGGAAGGGGGCAGGAAATAAATTACATGAGCATAAATCAACTCTCTCCAAAGTTACTAGCAGAGATGGACGGAATAATTACTATAGTCAAAAATTTCTTCTGATATCATATCAATTACTTTTCTGTAACAAATAATTATAACTTAATCTTCCATTTTGCAAAACTATATTCAATATGGCTAACGGAACTTTAACTGTAGAAAACTGAAAAAGACTAAACTAAAACATTCATAGAATATATTCCAAAATATTTTAGAGATTTAAAAAAAAAATCAAGAGTATTATACAGCAAAAACTGCAAAAATCTCTTACATCCTTCAAATTGTAGTAAGCTATGAGAGACTTAAAATTTAAAGTCATTGCCTTCTCTCTATCTCTGAATATATATACATATATGAATAGCATATGCATCTTTTTACCCATTAGACCCTGTGAAGGGGTCTGGAGACATTCATTTCTTGTTTCCAGATGGCTAGGTTCCTCTTCTTTCCTCCTTTCTAAAGATGACAGCCATGGCGCTTTGACCTAAAAAATAATCCAGTAAATACAAATGACAACAAATGCAAAAATATTAACTGTAATTATAAACATGTAAGAAAGGTTGGTGGCCAATGATTAAGGCAGCGTAACAATGTGTTTCGTTTTACAGCCCGAATGACCAATTACACATGAACAGCTAGTTGATCAGCCTGTGCAGAATGTCCACTGTAAATCTCAAACTCCTCTCTCTGCATATGAACTGTTAAGTCATAATTTCTCTAACTCCAGGAGCACTATACCTCCTCTCTAAGAAGGAGAGGAAGATGTTAATAGTCTCCTCAGGCCCAAGATGCAGTTTTCACATATAAATATTTTTTTTTTGTACATGTATATCCTCAATACACATGACCCGTCATCATCTCTAGACATAATTGATTAGTGTTCTCTATTTAATACATGGAAGTAGCTAACTCCATATTCACTGATAAAATTTGTCTTTAGCATCCCCCAAGATGAGTGTAAAACTTTGGAGCAAGGAAGACAACCTTGGTGGAGGAGGATCAGGTCAGAAAACAAACTGGACATGACCAATTTGTTGCTGCCTGATGGAATACACCAAGGAATGCTGCAGGAGCTGGTCTATTCTCAATTATCTTTCAAAGGTCACAGTGCTCGAGGCTGGTTTCTGAGGACTAGATAAAAGCACTCCTGCCTTCAAAAAAACAAGACAACCTCACTTTTATCTCTGGGAAGGTCAGGAGCAAATAATCCTGGAAACCATTTCCAAACACACGAAGCCGAGAACATACTCCATTTGGGAGTAGTCAGTATGGATTTATGAAGGGGAAATGGAGTACTTTGTCCAGTTCTGGGGCCTCCCAGTTCAAGAAGGACAGCAAACTACAGAAGCAAGTCCAGTGGAGGGGTACAAAGATGATCAAGGAAGTGGGACACCTCCAAATAATCCTGGAAACCATTTCCAAACACACGAAGCCGAGAACATACTCCATTTGGGAGTAGTCAGTATGGATTTATGAAGGGGAAATGGAGTACTTTGTCCAGTTCTGGGGCCTCCCAGTTCAAGAAGGACAGCAAACTACAGAAGCAAGTCCAGTGGAGGGGTACAAAGATGATCAAGGAAGTGGGACACCTCTCTGATGAGAAAAAGCTTAGAGACCTGTGCCTGTTTAGCCTGGAGAAGACTGAGAGGGGGTCTCATCAATGCTTACAAATATCTAAAGGGCAGGTGTCAAGAGGATGGGGTCAGGCTCTTCTCAGTGGTGCTCAGTGATAGGACAAGAGCCAACAGACACAAGCTGGAACACAGGAAGTTCTGTTTCAACCTGAGGAGAAACTTCTTTAATGTGAGGGTGGCAGAGCCCTGGAACAGACTGCCCAGAGGGTGTAGAGACTCCTTCTCTGGAGATATTAAAAACCCGCCTGGATGCATTACTGTCCAGTCTGCTCTAGATGAACCTGCTTTGGCAGGGTGGTTGAACTAGATGATCTCCAAAGGCCCGTTCCAACCCCTGCAATTCTGTAGAATCATACCTGACCAACTGTTTGACACCACCTCTCATTACACATCCTTAGACAAACTGATGAAGAATGTGGATGGTGAGACGGGCTGAAAACTGGCTGAACTGCTGAACTCAAAAGGTTGTGATCAGTGGCACAAAGTCCAGTTGGAAGCCAATAACTAGTGGTGTACCTAATGGGCCAATACCAGAGCCAATACTGTTTAACCTTTTCATTAATGTCCTGGATGATGGGATCGGAGTGCACCATCAGCAGGTTTGAGGACTGTACAAAACTAGGAGGAGTGGTTGATACACTGTATGATTGCACTGCTGTTTCAGGAGACCTCAACAGGCCAGAGAATTGGGCTGAGAGGAGCCTCAGTAAGTTCAACCAAGGCAAACGCCAGGTCCTGCAAACTAAAGAGGAACAGCCCTGTGCACCAGTAGACGCAGAAGACTGACCAGCTGGAAAGTAGCTTTGCAGAAAAGGAGCTTGAGGGCCTTGGTGGACACCAAGCTGAACAGGAACCAGCAATGTGCTATTAAGACAAAAGTCCAACGACCTCTTGGGCTGCATTAGGAAGAGTGTTTGCTGTCAGGTCGAGGGAGGTGATCCTTCCTCTCCACACAGCAGTGGTGAGACGCATCCGGAGCGCTGGGTCCAGTGCTGCACTCCGAGTATAAAAGAGAAACGGACATACTGCCAGGAATTCAGCACAGGTTCACAAAAGAGATAGGGGGTTTGGAGCATTTGTCTTACAAGGAGAGGCTGAGAGAGCTGGGAATGTGTAACCTGAAGTGGGGTCTCCATCTTTGGAGGTATTAAAAATTTGGTGGGACACAGTGCTGGACAACCTTCTCTAGCTGACCCTGCTTTGTGCAAGGGGTTGAATTAGATGAACTCCAGAGAACTCCTAACCTCATCCATCCCACAATTCTGTGACATGGGCAGCAGCTTTCTTCATTTTATCAAATCATTGCCTTGTTCTGCCACTCAACCAGGATATATAGACACAATTTCAAACACACTCTTCAATCATCCAGAGGGAATTCATGCAACACTCAAAATCCAAATGTTCATATACTCATATGTTAAAAAAAAAATAAATATCAGACCACTGTTAAATCAACAACTTATAGCTAGAGACGTTCAGAAAGGAAAAAAGTGCTTCTAAATCTTCTATTAGTAGATAGAAGACAAACATTACATCGAAAAACAAGACTAGGTGTAAGACCAAAGACATAATGTCTGGACAAAGACATAAAAGAGTTTAGGAAAAAAAAATACAAACCCCCTTGCAATGTTATTCTGGAAGATCAAGTATAGCAGTTTATTTTGAGATCAATGCAAAGAGAAAAGCTACAAATAAAATCTGTTAAAAATTAAGTAGAAAAATATGATGACTCACTGTACACATAATTCTACTTTTCAAAGTTTCAATTTTAAAAAAGACTCTTCTTTAAGTCTTACCTGAGCAAACTTGTAACATTCCTCAGTTACAGCTTCATTCAGCTTTTCTATAAGTCTTTGCGTAGATTTGACTTCATCATCTATGAATACAAATTATTAATATTATTTTTGAACACTAGATGCACAACAAGTTTTCAAAAGCCTGATTTCCTGCCTCAGTGAGATTGCCTCTTCAGGTCTTAGAAAGACATAGTTTTTTGTTCCCCTCTTTCTTGTTCCATCACACAGACAGATTCAATGATTACAGTAGAACTGCACATTCAAGAAGGTAAGTGATAAGAAATGGCTTTGTGTGTTAGTGAGCTCTAGAAAGATTAAACTTCACAGAAACATACGAGAGGGCAAAGAGCTTATACCAAAAAATTACAGAAGGGGAAATCATGATAAGTCATGATAAGAAAAAGTAAGGAGAGAAAATTGGCACTTTAACATAAAAGCTCACTCAGGCAAAAAGAAGCAAAGAAGTAATAGTGAAGAAACTTACTTTTGGGCAGGGAGCCAATGAAGGAATTCAAAGAACAGAGAATGAAGCAAGCCCCAAAATACTTTGCTGATGCATTTGCTTATTATTTCAGTAAGGAAAACAACCTTATAGGTGAATCTACTATATAGTTCTTTACAATTAATTGACCTAATAGAAATAGCAAAAAATGAGTTGCAATACTTCCTTCTGATTTTTATATTATTATTACGGTTTCTGTGGTTTTTAAGTACCCTGCGCATTAGACTACTTGTAACGAGTAAATCATTTTGTACAAAACCACTTCAAGATGTTCTATAAAAACAATTTGTTGGACAGCTACATGTACAAACTCTTGTGCTTGTTTTCTTTTAAAGACGCTGTTTTTCATATCAAGAGATTCACCTCCGTAATTCTGTTCAAGTTACCTGCTTGATGAATTTTCAAGGTCTGGAGCTCCAGCTGATGCATTTTTTTAAGATCATTCATCTCTTGTAGATGTCTACGTACAAGCTCCTCTTTAAGACTGCAAAGTGCACTCTCTTTTTCTGCTTTCAGGTACTCACGAACCTGGTCTACGTGAGCTGAATAAACCAGGGATAGGCAAATGCGTTGTGCTTCCATCTGTAGCTGTAAATCAGTCTTTGAAGAAAAAGAAATATTTTACAAAGAGTAAGAAATAAGACGACAAAAAAGTCCCATCTTTGTAAATGTCTTAAATTAATAATGTGTTGAATGGAACACTGCATACAGGGTATGTATTTGGTAAATTCAAATATACAGAGTTTGGAAAACCGAATTGTAACACAATAGTATGGCGCTTCTTCAACTTAAATAAAAATCGAACTACAATCAACAAGACTTAATATGCTTCAATTCCCAGCAATTAAAACCCAACTAATTTTCTTTCACTGAAAAACAGCATCCTCATACACATTGACTGTGGTTATCATTCTGGTCATTCATGTAACTACTTTCAACCATTGCCACGCTGCACCCCACACATGACCACGCACCTGGACTTCAAAGCAGCTAATAGGAAAAATATGATGCAAATTTCCAAGTCCAAGCTCCTACAAATTTTCATACGTAAATTATTTTCTGTACTGCTTTATGTAACATACCTGTTCTGATTTTAAGGCATCCACTTGCTCCTGAAGATTATTATTTTCACTCTGCGTAATGGCTACTAACGATGTTTCATCTGTCAGTCTGTCTGTCATCCCATGCAAATGTTCGACAAGAGACTGTTGTTCTGGTTTCAAAATTTGTTCAACTTCCTTTCTCTTTGCTACCTCATGACTGATATTTTTACCTGAAACTAGATTTCCTCTTACATTTATTCCTTCATCAACTATATTCCTTGGATCAGGGATTTTATTTCTACTTTGAGATGCTGCGGCAGCAGTCTTTAGAGCATTTCCTTTAGAGCATTTTGTCTTAGGGTCATTACTACTACTATTTCCTCTCTGAGCATGGCTAATTATGACTTCTAGTTCTTTACATTTTGCTAGAACTTGTTCTTTCTCATCTTTTAAGGATTTAACTTTTTCAGTCAAATGACAAGTTTCACTATGCTTTGACTTCAACTGTTCAGAGAGATCAGAAAGTCTCAGGGATAATTCCAGGTTCTCACGCTGGGTAACCTCAAGCTTTTCCATAAGTTCCATCGCATCTTTCTCAACAACTTCTCCAGTCTCAAATACGTTTGCCCTGGACACCCTGGTTTCTTTACTCCCTTCAAAACCAGAAGTTTTAGTCTTAAATAAAACTGATCTATTGCTTTGCAAGTAGTGAAATTTTTCATTCAAAGCTTTGAGTTCGTTTTTATATTCGGCTTCCTGCTTATTCTTGTTCTCTTCTAACTCAGTTTTTGCTTTCAGAAGAGCTGCACATTCTTTCTGCAGCTCTCTATAATTATCTTCAAGCTTTTTCTCAGTGAATGCAAAGGCACTCTTCTGCCTTTCTGTATCCTCTTGGAGTTGACTGTTTTGGTTTTTAAGTTGCTCATTTTCAGTAATCAGCTCTTCTATTCTTTTTTGCAAGTCCAAATTTTCTGAGTTAGAGCAAACACTGCTGTTCAAAATAACATTTTCTTCAGAGTTTACTAACATGCTTTTTAATTTCTCTTCCAGAGTTTTGTTTTCCCCCTTAAGAAGGTTATTTTGTCTTTCAAGTTCTGAACATTTTTTTTTAAGACTATCTTCTCTCTCTCTCATCTGTTCCTGCATCAACTCAGTTTTAAGCTGCAGCTCTTGAATTTCTTGTTCAAGGGTACCTTTTTCTTTTTCCTCTCGTCTAAGCACTTCAATCTCCTTCTGCAGCTCATGGATTTGAAGTGTCATTTCTTCAGATTTCAAATTTACAACAGACTGCTGCAAATCTTTTAGGTTTGAAATCTCTAGTATCAACTGATTTTGCTTTGTGATTAAGTTGTCCTTTTCATATTGCATGGCGTCTATCTTTTGGCTCATTGCATTTTGTATCTCATCTAACTGCTGTTTATGGTGCATATTCAAGTTATCTTTAAGGCTTTCCATGTTCACCATGTGCTCTTTTTCTAAGTTTTCTTTAAGTCTGGAAAGTTCCTCTTCATGACTAAACAGAAGCTTTGTTCTCAATCTCTCCAATTCTGCTTCTTGTGATTCTGCCATCCTGTCCAAAACTGCATCCTTTTCCCTTTCTAGCATTTCAAGTTTTATTTTGTAATTTGTGACTTCTGCCTCATGTTTTAATTCCAATTCCTTCCTAAATTCAGAGGCAGAAGTCAGCTGAATTTTTAAATCTTCAATCAAAAACTGGTATTTTTCAGCTTCATTTAATCTACATTCCATATCCACTATAGTTTGTTTGGCTCTTTGAACTTGCTCTCTTGAAAAATTCAGTTCTTGTAAAAGATCTTCAATTTTGGTTTGCTGAAGAGACTTCTCTGCTGAAATTACTTCCATCCGTTGTGACAATTCTTGCTTTATTTTTTCCCTTTCGTTATCAGCATCTTGCAATTTCATACTCAATTCATTAATCTTAATATTCATTAAATGCATTTGATCTTTATTAACATTCTCATTCAAACACAGACTTGAAGTTTTCTCCAATTCTACTTTTTGTTGCAAAAGACGCTGTTCTATTTCCATTGCATGTTGCTTAATTAATTCTTGCTTCATTTGTACAATCTGCTGGCCATGTATTTCATCTAATTCAGCCTGAAGTTGTGCCAGTCTCCTTTGTGTTTCTAATTCCATTCTTTGCACAATGTCAGCTTCAGACTGGCTGTCTTTATAACATCGTTTCTGTAATTCTTCCACAGTTCCCATTAATTGTTTTATTTCATCAGAACATTGCCTTTCTTTCTGTTTGTAGATGGTAAGTTCAACTTTCATATTACTTATCTCCTGGTTCTTTAGTGAAATCTGTTCTTTCAATTCTTCAAGTAATTTACTGACATCTGATAATTTTTCCTTAAGCTGAAATGACTTTTTTTCTTCTTCTCCAAGTTTTGCTTCCAGCTCTTCAACTAATGCTTCTTTTTCTTGCAGTTTACTCAAATCTTCTCCCTCGTTTTTGTGTATTTCCTTTAAAAGAAAAAGAGCAAAGCCATGTTCTTATTTTTAGTTCATTATCTGAACATATAAGAACTTTTGTAGACAAATATTTAAACACAATGCCTTTCTTTAGACAGATAGTGAACATTTATAAAAACTAAATATAAATTATTTGTTAACTTCAATTGGAGGCTATCTGTAGATTTGGAATAAGTGATAATCCCTCTTCCCCTCCCTACAAAAAAAAAAAATCACTTCCATTTTTTCCAGCTGTGCTCTGATACTTCAAAAAAATATATTTGGTGTAGTCTACTGAAAACTTTGTCTCTTGTCACTTTTAATGACATTTACATTTTTTAGGTACTTTTAAGATGTTTTCCATGACGGATAATAAAAAAAATGCACATGAAGAAAAAGAATTCATTCTTTCCTTAAGACAGAAAAGATCATTCAAGGGGGTTATTTTAATATTTTTTCCTAACAAAACAGTGTTGTTTAAGGAAGGCATTCTAATATACAGTACAGTTTCATAATTTGTTGTAAATATTTCTGCAGTTTTTTAAAACATGGTACGTGATTCTGACATTAAAATTTCAGTTTTAAATTATGCACATATCATGTGTTAGGTAACAGAAGCAGTCTTCAAAACTTAAAATCTTTGTATGCATTATATGCAACACACTCATAATCTGTGCTTTGTCATTTAAATTTCAAAGGAACTATAAAACCGGGAAAGGGGGGG